AGAATTCAAACACGGTGTGTACAGTGCAATCACCTCTTGTCCAAGAATCCTCTCCAATCCCCTCTTTTCTTCTGGTACATCCCTTTCCCGCGCGACATCTCGAATACACGCACTCGATGACGTTTGTCGCGTAACCAGTTCACTTATCGGTGATATGCACACAATGATAACGGCGCGCAAATTAGTCCATCGTAACTAACCTTAAAGGCGTTAAGAGTTTTCTTAGAACGGCCCTCCTATTAAGGAGTAAGTAATAAATGTTATATGACGAACAATTAATTATAAGAATAAAAATCTCTTTCTCTTTTTTACAATGTCAAATTAAATTTGAAGTGATAAAAGGTCGCTAAGGATTGGATAATAAATACGCAAAACTCAGTCTGTCATTTAAGTCAGGATAACTGTTATATAATAGATGATGCTTCCGATTCGGACGTGTCCTTGAAATGGATAATCCTCAGATAGAACGCAGCAGACATGTTACAACAAAATGAGTTAAATCCGATGAGTCGGCGTGGTCGGGCGCCGCGAGAAAGCATGCCGCCACGTCGGGGATTTTAACGGCTTTCTAACAGACGGCCGAGCGGACAATTCGAAAGTTTTATGCAAACAGAGGCGACGGCCGGGGTCTTAACACGCGGATTCGCAAAAATCTATGAAACGCGTAAGTTTGTCGACCCGGCATAAATATCCGTGTGCGCCGCCGCCGGAATTCGTCGAAGCGCGCGGTGGTTTCTTCCACATGAGACGGCCAATTGTTTTCCGCATGCCTGGAACTTCTACGATGCGTAAATGACGACGTCCGCGCGATTAAACCGCGAGAAAGTTTGGTGAAACGGCCGGGAAAAGACGATTAAGCGCTGTGAATTGCGAATCACTTCGGAGCCGATGTAATTTGTAATCGAAATTCTTTCAGGAAAATGTGCGCAATTTTACAAAAAATATACATATAGAATTTAATTTTTAATTTTACAATTTACATTTCAATTTATGTTTATAAAATACAAATATTTTATAAACGTAAATTGAAATATTATATATATAAATTTACATATCGTGAGGGAGATTGTTATGATATCATATATCTTCACGCAAACACAGCCATTAGTTCGTGTGAGAGAATTTTTCCATCAAATTTGGACTGATAGAATGATTTCGTTCCATCTAATTATTATTATACTGTGAATAGCTTGCGTTCGATTGCACCGGGTGCTGTTCACTCGGTGGTCGATAGCGCGACCAGGCATTGAAGTCTCCGAGTCAGGTAGAGTAACGGGAGATACAAACGCCAGGGAACAGATGTATGGCGCTGACGAGCACCGCTGCCGCTGTCGGGCTGACGAGTCACTTTTACTGACTAAAAAGGCGATCAATCTCAAAACACTGCGAATAATTTGCGTTTTGCGTTTTTACATTTAGTGAGAATTTACCACCAGCAATTGCGTGACATATCGCGAGCGTTACGAGCTACGAGAATTATTCCGGAATTCTTGTCGAGCGATATTTTTAATCGGAGATTAAAAACTAACGAAACAAAATATAATAATATTAATAAGAAAGAGGAACGTTTGAACATGTTGCCGAGGCAATCGTCGCCTAATTGCGCGACGACATAACTTAATCGTTGTGTTACTTCGAATATTATATATTACGTGAGTGCTGAGATAATCACGTACAAAAAGCATAATAAATTCCTCCTCGTACGCGCATCGGGAGCAACGGCACTTCCGACACGGCATCCGTTTTTCCGTCACGTACTTCTGCTTTGAGATAGGCACGATGTCGTGGCTCGCAACGAGGCTCGTCGTCGTGCCTATTGATGGTAACTTGGAGCGTACGAACGCCTTTGCGAAAGTCAAGCAGTATTGCGTGCGAAATCACGGATCTGTCGGAGTCTACACGACCGCGCCTAAAAGTTGCTCATGTATTTATTCAGCGATCGCGAACGCTTTTGTACGCGTCTTGGTATTATCCTACTCAGTCTGGAGACTTCGATACTCGATCGCGCTGTCGGCCACATATACAGGTGTATAATTTATAATTATACACCCCGTGTGTAATTTATAATTACTGTATAATTTACGAGTACTGCTAACTGCATTGCCATTGTCTGAATGATATACGCTCTCCTTGAGATCCTCGTACATAATATACATTTCTCCTAAAAGGTTTACCTCGTTATTACGTCAATACATTTCAACTCTTCGACATTTCAGCTGTTATTTATTTACGCAAAACCGGGATAATGTTCACACACACTCGGACACATGTCGATCGGTGATCTGTCTCAATGAATAAGTCCCGTAAGAGATGGATAATCGATGAATATCGCGATGCAAGGCACAATCTCGCGATGTTTAGGCGAGATGTAGAGTGGAGAAAATTCGTAGGCATCCTGCAACTTTCTTTCGCGGTGGCGAATAAAGGAGTAAAGGCAAAGATCGCGATATATAGGTTTAGAGCGCGCAGCAGTACAGCGTCTGGCATTAAAGCGGGTACTATCGCGTGCGCGAATATAAAGGCCCTGGGGCGCGTGAGACCCCTATAACAGGTCACTGCCATCGAGAGAAGCGAGCAGGTTCGAAGCACTGAATCCCTTTGCCGGAGAAGGGGAGCCTGGTTTATCCGTACTTGCGCTTCCACGCGCATACCGACACGCGCGCGCGGTGCCATCTGCGAATCGACGCGCATCTCCAGCGCGATGGAGATGCGGGAACGTTGCGCTCGTCGCGTCGAGTCGCTCGAATCCGAACTCTTTATTCCGGTATTAGGATAATGCAATAATAATAATAATAATAACAACGATACCGTTCTACGTTAGTACGAGTGCGTTCGCTTAATGAGCCTGGCGGCGGGAGAGGCTAATCGCTCGTTACTTTTGCATTCAAAGAAGCCGCGGCACCGGCTCGTGTCCCTGAGAATCCACCACCTCTGAGCGAAGCGAAAAGCGTTTGAGCGCAACGGTAATCGAACATTTGAATTATATTAAGCGTCGTGCGAATTACAGCGAGAGAACTCGCCTGGTACCGTTTTCAATGTAGGCAAACGGTAGGTAACGGTCACCCGGTATATGCGCTCTGCTCCCAGGATGGAGCAATGTTCCGCGCGATCGCAGGGCTCATCAGCGAGAAAAACGACGCGGCGACGATTCCACGCGTCTTAATCTCGGCTCCTTGCAAAACTGAGACCGACAGGGTGATATTATGGTAGTTGCGAAAGCTCCTCGGGAACATTTTCGTGGGGAAGAATTGCGCGTGGCGGCTGCTCCGATGTGTGAAGTTCGCATAAACTGATTTGTATGGCATGCTACGGAAAATCCGAGCAGAAGGAAAATGAACGCGCATAAGACGGAAACGTCGAATTGCGTTCGATGTTGTGCCCCGGGCGAGAAGACTTTCACGAAATTACGCTAATGCGCTTGTTGCACTTTCTTTCGCAAACCGCGGAGTATATATATATATCAATTTCTTCTTACGCAAAGCCGCCTCCTCGTATTGCATTTCTCCTCTTAACGTGAACACCGAAAGTCGATACGCAGGCATTCCTAGCTATTTCACTTGTTAACATTTTTTTATGCGCGAGCACGTATCGCACGTTGCTAGGAACGTGTTTACGGTAAATGCGTTATGAAATGAATCGATGCGGCCACGCGGCAGTGAAGCCGGTGAGCGTAATCTAATAAACAACATAGTTCTCTCAACAACAACACTCTACATATCATTAATTCATTGAATTGAAAAGTATAATACTTATTAATTTTGCGATTGTCGAGAAAAGTCGAAAGACAAATCATGAAGATCTGATCAAACAGGAAAGACTACGTAGAAGAAAGGTATATTTATCTTATTAACATCGGTGAGAGAGAAATCTCGGTTCATTTGTTATTCGTGGAGGAACTGTAAATATTGAAACAGTGCATAGTGACCATTTCCTGCTTCGCTCTAACTGCGAAAGTAATTTATTACCCTAACCGGTTTATGGCGAGCTTTATGGCCAAATACTAGCCGTTTTTCATCTTGTGATAAGTTTTCGGCGCTACGTAAAAGCGGCTAATTTATCCTCGCGATAAGCGTTGAATGCACGCGAGTTATTTTCCCGTATTATTTCCACCGTATAAAATTCCGATGAGCGAACGTGCTTCTTTTTCGCTCGAGCATATTGTTCGGTAAATGCGAGGTGCGATGCATGATCCGTTGTATCCGTGGTGTAAGCCCCGATGAAATGTAACACAGCCTGAGGCTATTATCTTCCTGGAAGCCGGAGAGATTATTCCTCGCGCCATACTTGTCTGATTTTCACCTCGCGCACACATCTCGTGTGCCTTCATCATCAAGCGCCTTCCCCGAATTCATTTTACCACACTGAGGAACTTCTTTACGTAACTGTCAATGTTACCGGCGATATCGCTGCGGAATAAATTAAACGTAGGCTGACGATATTATAAACGGGCTGCCTCGTAAAATAAGGATCCCTGTTATGCAATTGGAAATCGAGATGTATCATTCCGTGCGTATCCTAAAGGGGGGATATCCTAACACGGGATAAAGAACTTACGCAACGAGAGAGAAATTTAAATTGCATTCCTGCCTTTATATCGCTCAAGAAAGAACCTTATATTGTGGTTGGAAATCATACGACGTGGATCGTGTTATGTCTAATAATTAGACATATTCTCGCCTGACACAGCAATCAGTTTTTTATTCTTCCTATGAAAAAAGAAAGGAGGAGAGAGGAGAATGTTACTGCCATTCGCCGGATAATGTTACGATATATTCCGTGTATTCCGCGATAATTGAAATAAAATCGTCAGTGTGTATATCTAAGAATACGATGTCCTCTAAATGCATTTTAATTAAATTTCTATATGTATTGAAATGGAAATTTCCAGCCGTGTATTCACAACTTTTGCCGATCGCAATGGGGGGAAATGAAAAAAATACAAAGACTTGTTGTTATGATTATTATTGATATTGTTATTATATCAATATTAATATTATTGCCATTATTATTATTGTTAGTGTGGCGTCCGATGAATAATAATATAGTACGTACTCGGGATCGTGTTAGAAATTGTTCTCGATTTCGAACCATTTTGTCGACATCCTGCATTCGTACTTGACAACAATGATACGTAAAACGATACATAATTGTATTCATCTCGAAGGTGTGATACATATACAAGCTAATTTACTCTCGTTACATACATACACAATCTCCAATGTTGTGGCATTGACTGTTCAGAGGGGGGAGTGAACAAAACGCAATATTTGTAATGAAGCGTATTCGAGACTGTGAAAAAATTCGTATTTCGTAATAATTATTACGTGTGTGCGCGTGTATTCCAATAAATGATGCTCTCGTAAAAATGTTCAAATTTTCGCACACTAACCATGTACACGTTATAAACAATATAAACGCTCAACGGCGAGTTTATGACATACAAAACTTGAAGAACTGCTTCGCATTGGCGCCCCAAGGTTGAGAGATGAAAGTTTCCATAACGCGATCCTCGATTTCCCTCCTTCATTCTCACTTTATGTTACGACGACGGAGTTAAGGGCTCACTGTCGGTCGCAAAACACACTGGATCAAGGCGTGGTACGAATAATGCGTGATAACGATGCGATATGTCGGTTAATTAAATAATTCATTAATTAACGGGCTAATCCATCAGTAGGGATGGAGCGCTGCCAGGCCCAATCTCGGCGGCTCGGCGTAGCTGTAACGATATCTACCGAGCGCCGGGGCCATTTCCAACGCTGGTCTGGCACTTTCACGATCAAGTCCAGGATATCTTTCATGCTCTGACAGTTCCTGGTAGGTTGTGCTCCTCGTTCGTAATTTGTCACGCAGCTCCCGCGAGTGCTGCTGCGTGCGTTGTTCGCGAAAATCTCGCATCTGCACAACGAGGAGATACGCAGTGTGATAGATGCGGTTATGATCGCGCAACCGTTAAAACACACCGACGGCGTAAATCGTCATCATTTGTAGGTAGACTTCGTACTTACTTCTCTTTGATCAACGGGATTCCTCTGCTCTCTGAAATCCCTACCAAGCGGCAAGTCCTCGTAGAAGCTTCTCGGCCGTGGCTTCGAAGTTTCCGTTTCGGACGGACGTTCGACCGCGTAATGATGAGTCCTGGGTCGCGGTCTGCCCTTGTGTGACACGCCGTTTTCGCGGTCCAACGCGTCCGTCTGATTTCGTCTGATCACGTGCTCGTGCGAGGACATGGAGTTCATACTCGCCGGATATTGCCGGCCGGATCGTTCGTCGTGAACTTGTCTAGCCGATTCAACCCTGTCGAATAACATCATTATTCGATCAGTTAATAACGAGTTAGATGCTTTTGCATAGAAACCTTAAAGAAACATAATATTATTTCAGAATTATCGTCTAAATTTTAGCCTTGCTAATTGTCGTCTTATAAATTCATTCGAACTGATGGCTGTCTTTCGAGCGTTTCCCGTTTTTATAACAAGAACTAACTACACACGAAAGAGAGAGAGAGGTCTTCCGTTAAAAGTTTCACGGAATGTGGATACGTAGGATATCGACGCTAATTGCAGTTCTCCTCGAACGAACGCGTCGATCTCCGTACTTTTATAAATATCTCGCAGGAATGCGTTTGACCGGTGAAATTGTTCGTTACTCACGTCTCTCTAAACCCGTTCGAACGTGGAAAGCTGTGCAAAACCATATACGTGCAAAACGAAACGCACGACAGTTGACGACGTGCTTAGATCCCTGGACCGATACTCTCGACAACGATCTGCATTCCGACTTTTACTCAATCCGTGCAGTCGTTTACCCAGCGAATGTTTCGTCAATTAGAACGCGCTCGCTACATAATAAATAATTTTATGTTAAAAACGGCCCGTTAAAATTTTGCGTTATTTTAACCTGGAGTATGTCATGTTGACAAGGTAAATTTGTTAATTTAACATTATATTTCCGTATATTTTAATACATATTTGCGTACTTTTTAACACAGCCCATATGTTGAAATAAGATGAAAAACAATTTCAGCGGACCGTTTTTAACACGAAACTTTCTACTGTGTGGGAGAATTTTTCTTCTTTCTGGCAAGATTTTACTGCGAAGTTTTACCGCACCGTCAACGATTTTTATCACGCAGTTCAACGAAAGCTTTCTCAACAATGTTTATGGAATATATTCGAAAGTGGTGAGTTCTCTCTTCGACCAGCACATCGTGCATATTGATTCATCATCAACAGTCGTCCCCGCGATAAGATAAACATCCGGGTGAGCACCTGTGAACAGGATGATGCTCGACGTCTCTTTGCCTGGAGAGAACGGGTCTGGCGATGGCTTCTCTCTCCATAGCCCTGAACATTTCCTTCGCATCTTGGAACCTCTCCCTAGGACTGGTCACCTCGTTGGGATTGGCCCTGGATTGGTATTGAGGACTCGGCGTTCGTTGTCTGAATTCCGCTGCTCTTCGATTTCTGTTGCAGCTCGGTGAAACTCCCCTGTTCACCTGACTGGGCAGTCTTTCCGGGCTTCGCGGTAGCCGCGGCAACGTCAGACTCGACGCGGCCGTCTCCACTTCCGGATACTCGTTCTCTTCGTCCGGCACGCCCCAATCGTCATCTAGGAAGGTTAATCAATATGCAAATTAGAAATTCTATTCACGCGTCTAATGTATCTTACGAGAGATCAAGAGGTATACAGCGCATGGACATTTTCTTGAGTCGATTAATTACGTTCGATTAATTGCACATCAACATTTGTGACTTGGACTCTCTTTTATACGACCGCGTTTCGCCTCTCCTCCTGTTAAACGGCAAACATCGGCATTACACACGGGGGAAATATTGTAACAAAAATTTCCACAAGATTTCACAATACTGTACCGCACTGGGATTACGTCTGAAATTATGGTGTGTGTTGTAATATTTAACGATATATTTCATATGCACACATCACTAAAGATTACAACACGTAGAATAATTTCAGTCGTAATTCCGGGACGATCCATTCGGAAATAATGTTTACCACAATATTTTCTCCGCGTACATGAAACATTTCGCCAAGCAGTCTCCGGACCGGCCCCACTCCGCGCGACCCGCGGTAAATCGGTCGGTGTAATTCTCGCGGAATCTGGCATCTCGATGAGGTCAGGAAGATTTAAAGAGCGGTAGCGGGCTACGGGGCAGAGGGGGTGACGGAGGAGGGGGCACAGATGAGGTTCGAGGAGACACGAGGAGGAGGCTGAGAGGTGCCTCGGGCTGTGGGCCGAGAATGCGGAACTTTATTCCGTACGTACGGCCTCCCACGAGGTCGACTTACGCACGAATTTACAAGTGCCGGTCGTAGCCGGAGTTGTCGTCGTCAGGGCAGAGTCTCATCATCATCGGCATGACTGTCATTATCCGCCGCCGTAACAGCGACGACACGGGCCGCGCTCCCGGCCGCCGTTCTCTCGGCCGCGCCGTGGAAACGCGCCTTCAGAGAAGTCCTTTGCGCAACGATACGCCGTAAAACGGCGAGGCGGAGTGCCGTTACTGTATTAGGTAAGAAACGGAGGGTGAAAAGTCAATCGCGCGCGTGTGGGATTCCCACTCCGGACGTCGCGAGATTTCGATGCGTTGTCGACGTCGCGAAATTTCGTAACGTCACGCCAGCAGATTGCAAACGTTTCTCTCGTCCCAGGTGGAAGAAAAATCTAAAAGATGTTTCAAAGACATCCAAGAGACGTTCTATTTTTTTTCTTTTTCGAACCTTTCAAACGTTTCGAGAAATCCTTTTAAGAGGTCTTTTAGTAATTTGTTCTGCCTGCGGAGTTGTTCCGCCTTAGCGAGTTTTTACGCGTGCGTGCCGTCGCGGAGTAATTTCGAGAACGATTTACAGACAGCGATCCTCGTCACTTCCATGATACTCGACAACTGACGATAACTCGATGTGTAACGGTATATTCCGTCGAGATATTAAAAATCCGCGCTTGCGATAAAGCACCGACGGCCGGCGCAATTGATTAGCGCGACTACGCGGCAATAATCCGATAGATCCGATCTCCACCTGGGCGGCGTTAGAATAGTCTCGCGCGAAATGTAGCCAACATCACACGAGGTGACTACGGAGGCGAGTGTACGGCAAGCGCTAAGTGTGTCATATCTCTTTACACCGTGAGCATTTCTGGTAGAATCGCGGCGAAGCACCGTTCGCACGGGGCGACGGGCGAAGGCAAAAAGTGCGATCGAACGTTAATCACCGCGAGACATCTGTCGTATCTTCTTCAACGGCCGGAGGTGGGTATAAAGGGTGTAACGGAAGAAATCAATATTCGTGCATCTCTCATTTTGTTAGAATAATTTTTTCTTCTCTCTATAGAAAAAAAAGCGCTGAGAGGAAGCTCGAGGATGATCGTTAGCTGTTGATAATGATTAGATGCTGTTTTATAATACTTATAAATAGGATGCAAGGTATCGTAACCAAGGAAACTGGAGTGGGACTCGTGAGCCACCTTCCTAGGGGACGATGCTGAGATACATTGAGATGGTCCGGTTATCTCAGCGATGACGCGTGTCCGATTGTTTGTTGACGTGTGGTCGAAAATCTAATCCGACTTGAACGCGCAACAATCTCCGCAGCCTCCACCTGGAGAGAAACTCCCATTGTGCGTCATCAGTTGGCCTAAACAAAATCTTGCCTGCCTCATTCCCCAGCTTCGTGCCACATTTATGACAAACAACCAATCTTCGATGTATCTCCAACGAATAACAAGGCTTGCCGTAAAATCTCACTAACTTCTGCGCCCTACTTTTATCAACAACTGCGTGCCGATCAGAAAGTAACGGATAACATCGGAATAATGGCTTCGAATGATCCGAGAGTCGGATGATCGCGTCGATAACACATTCGATTTCAAGACATTGCTGATCTCGCCGATTGTGTTGCTGCTTCACAGCACAGAGATCAGCTTTCTGCAAATAGATACCCTAGTAGAAATTGAATCTCGTCGGTATCTAGCCACGAGGCTGGTAAACTCGTGCCTGACGTCGCCATTGGCCAATAATATAACGCTTATTTCTAGACTAGATATGTTAAAGAGTTTTAATTGTAAATAACAGAAATAACGCTTATTTCTAGGCTAGATATGTTAAAAAGTTTTAATTGTGAACAAATAACAGAAAGATCATAATTAGTTGTCAGGCGGAAATGTAATGCTCACTTTTGCTTTTTTAAGATTTCTACAGAATAACGTGCCCTGAATTTTTACTCCGCTCATATTTCACTCATTTACTCATTTTACTTATCTCACTTTTAAATTCCAGCGGCGGATATATATAGCGCAGCTGGATTATATATTGTAGACAGCGTCGCCTGCTCCTCTATTTAATATGTAACGACTAGATAACGGCTAGATCGCAAAACCGGTTTCGACATTTTAGTGAATAATCAACCGATAACGAACTGGAGGCCAGCTACGAGATAGAACATTTCATCCAGTCTGTGCTAGATAACTTTTTCCGCTAGATACCAGCTTTTGACACTCAAGCCAACGGAGATACATTTCTACTCGGGTATGTGGCGTGCCTTCGATTCGAGAATTCCGAATATTCGCCAAAGTCGGGAAGCTGTCGCTGAACGAGCACTCGCGCGAGAGACAGCTATTTAATTTCCGCGCCAAGTCTGACGGCGCGTGCAAATCGGGCACCGGCTGCTTTTTGCGGCCGTACATAGGCCCTGAAGCCAACCGAGATACGTACACCCATAAGCCGTGGTACCTGCCGCTGACACGACATCCTAACGGTATTCCTTCCACTGTAACAGGTGCTCAATACAATCTCTCTCTCTCTCTCTTTCGCTTACGTACACGAGCTTAATGCCGGAGCCGAATATATCTACCGGTACACGGTGCGACCGAGAGCACCGGATCTTTCTTTCTTTCTTCTTTTCTTTATTCTTTTTTTTTCCCTCCTCTCCTTCATCTCGAAATTTATTCAGTGACGGCATATGGGTCAGTCGTCCGTTAAAAACACGTTTCTCGCGAGAGAAGAAGAGAACTCAGAAGACGAGCGCGAGTTGAAAGACGAATGCGAGCTCCATGCGAGAACTCGTAAAGGTGTGTCGGTACATATGCATCGCACGGGCATACCTAATGCCGCTGTTATTGAGAATTCGCGTATTGGATTTTGCTTTGCGCAAAAAGAGACAAGTAGGATGCCTTCGTTCACGGTAATAAAGGATTTTTCACCATTCGCCGCATGGACTTCCCTCTTGCGTCCTCGTTCTCGCGGGATATGTAAAAAGTGCACAGCGAGTAAAGATAAATCTCTCTTAATCGGATCTCCCATTTTCTTCTGTGAGCTTTCATTGTGGAGGATCCGCTTTCCTCGGATATCGGGAATTACGGTTTGTCGTTTGTGATTACTTATCTTATTCATAGGGACGGGTGCAACCGCGCGAGAGAGAGAGAGAGAGAGAGAGAGCTCAGGTCAAGTCTGAAGAAAAATCTAAGTCAATAGACTTGATTAAATGCAGAGAAAACGCACGAACGCACGAATTAGCGCACCGTTGATCTCTGCGATACGCAATTTTTTTCTGCCCCACTGCCAGCTTTCCTGCGTGCATTTTTGTTCTTCGCCGCGCCGGTGATCGACTTTCCACTTGTCCCCAAGATTTCGCATCGTTTTCTTCGCGCAATGACACGCGTTGCGTGAAGGCATTTCGCCGAGGATGCGAGGATTTCGGGGTTGGCCGAGGTGAAAGTGGACGATTTTATTGTCAAACGGAATGCGCGGTCTATGGGCGAGCCCGGACGCCTCTCGATTCCGTATTCAATATGACAGCTCGACGGCGGAACAAAAAGGAAGAAAAAAAGCGAGCGTGCTTAAAGACGACGCGACGCGACGCGAAACGTATTTTTCGTAGCTACCGGCAACTGGGTTACGAGGTCGCTCGGTTCGCCACTGCCCAGTTTTCTACGACAGCCGATAAGATTCGAGTCTGTACACGTGGGCACCTGTCCCACGAGTAGAAAGCGCCCAAATTTTTCGTCGTTATCGAGTCCGGTGACGACAGGAATTTCCGATCGAGGTATCGTTTTCGTTCTTTACGCGAGTGAAACTCAGGAAACGGTTAGATTTTTGCGATACGTTCATTTAAAATGCTTGATCCGGATCCCGGGCTGATAACACAAAACCGGGACATAAGACATCTTTAACACGTTCATTGCCAAGGTGAAAATTGGAATTTCGTGTGGTGGCCAAATTTTTTCTTTAGTTTTTATTGTGCTCGAAATAAGTTAATATATTATTTATATGCTTTTATTATTATGCACATAGGATTTATGTACTCTAAATATCTATTATTTATAAATTACGCGATATGGCGTGATTGGCCGTTTGGTGAGAACTCGCATCACGCGATATCGCGTGATTGGCAATGAACGCGTTAAGACATCTTCAAAATGTCCTAAAGACACGTCTAATGTCCCGGTTTTAGTTCTTGCGCTGCCTGGGATGTGTCCTGTTATTCTCTTCGTGTATTTACTTACTCCAAATCTTGATTCTTGACGCGCGCGCATAATATCCTGAGGAAGAGTGTGAAATTTATCAGTTGGATCTCTCTTCCACGCTTACCGATGGTGAACGATGAGACAAATATGCAATTATCCTATTAATTCTTGACGCGCACATGGCTCCTCTTGCCAAGAAGAAATGATTCTCTTTCGTAATTATTTCCACGCGTAAAAAGCTGATTTCACCGATCACCGGTAGTTCTCCTCGCCTCGAGAAGAATGATTATTAGGTGCGCGATCGTTTCCTGAGACGAATCGCGAAAAGAAGAAGCGAAGACTTTCACTTTCGTGCGGCGCCCAGCATCGGCTTGCGTTATCGCTTAACTCGCGTAATGATGCGTCCAGTCAATACCGTTGCGAGATTATTCTAAAAACTGTCCACCTTGCAATTAACGCGAATTAGCGGTGTGAATTACGCAACCAATGTCGCGCGGAGTCTTTTCAGAATGTCTCGTTAAATAGCACATTTACACCCGACCCTCTTTCCACAATCAATTTCACTTCCACATCGGACGTCGACTTTCGATATTTTACAGCTAGCTGTTCGTAGGTTGATTGGCCCGCAAAGTTCTTTCGTTGCAAATTACTTGGAATCGAGCGGAATGTTGAACTTTGACATATATATGCATACTTCGGTTAAATCTGCTACCAATAAGGCGACGTTTGCCTTAGTTTTAATCGCTGCATCTAGAGAGAGAGAGAGAGAGAGAGATACGTACAGCATAGTGAGAATTTCTTATTAAGTATGCCAAATAAGAACATACGTATTGCATCGGAATATCAGTTTCGAGGTAGTTCGTGTTTACGTCCTGAAAACCTATTTTCGCGGCCATGTAATACCTACGCAACCGATGCTCTCGGAGATATTGGCCAATAACACGGAATTTCTATGCGGCGCGAATGTAATACTCGCGGCAAGTTTCACACTCGCTAGCGCCGCAATTGTCACGCTTGTAGCCAATATTATGCACGCTCTACGTGGTTTTCTTGCTTGAAATGGGATGTTGCATCGTAACTTGACGTAACGGCCGAGCCGCGAGATTTGTCCCTCAAACTTTGTAATTACCACGACCCACTTGCTAATGTCCGATCTTCATCCACGTCTCTCTTCTAACACCGATAAGGATATCAGTTCACGTTAAGGACGAGATAAGTTCATTTTGAAAATTTCACCAATCAAAAGTTTCGATCGATAACTGATTGGGGAAAAGTGCATAAAAGCGAAGACGTGTAAAATCATTTGAGATCTCTTCGAAATATAAAATTAAAAGTAAAAGATGAAATATAAAATATATAATATTAAAATTCCAGATCATTTAATTATCTCTCTAATAAAATATTCGTTTACGGAATGAAAAATCAACTTAGTAGAGATAAAGCACCAAAACCAATGTACTATTTTGTTTTTAGATTCTAAAATCCTGTTGAAGGTGTGCAGTTAACAATTTAAATGCATAAATATAATTTAGCAACATTTCTTTATCAAAATATATGATAGTTATAAAAATTATTACATATTTCCTCGCAAATAATTATTTTTTAAGATATTTGCAGATTGACGCTTTTAAACATTAGACCTCAGAAATGACATACTTATAGAGAATTATCAAAGAAATCAAATAAAAGCACTGAAATTACACTATTTTAAACATTTATCACATATCTTTACACAGATTATTTTTAATCTTACATAACTTTTATTATGTGAAAAGGATGACTTTTTCCGAGTATCGTAAACAAACAAACAGGAAAAACAAAGGAAAATCAGTCACTGGTAGCTTCAATAGCATTTTATAAGATGATATTTCACGGTAAAGTTTAGGTATGTCGGTTGCAAGACCAGCAAGCTCAGATATGTCGGCTCGCAGAACAACCCAACTCTAACTTTTCTTGCGCGGTTCGGTGATTGAGACACTAACATAAAATCGAAAATTCATAAAAAATTCAAAACTCACACTATAAAGTAGTATTGTGAAGTAATTTACCGCTGATTTGTCGCTTCAATTTTCACAAGAAGATAATAGCTCGACCAGAACTTTAACAACGCTGATGTCAAAACTTCAAACGACGCTGATAATTTCGAGAACGCGCTTACAAACAGAGAAGTTTGCTATACCGGCTGCAATTATTATACATAATAAACAAAATTCATGTTCCGCCCGCCAGAGTGAAATACTTTACAGCCGAGAAATGTGTTTGGAAGTATGCCAGTTTACCATACTTATGTTAGTTTCGGTGGCTTCTCGTCTACTACTTCGAAGAGCGACTTGGCGATCTTGAGAACTGCTATTTTCACTTTAGCATTGGAGATTATCAGATCATTCTAAGCTGTCGAGAGTGCACTGCGCCGTCATTCGATTTGGCTTATTAGCTGACACTCTGGGGAGTGAGAAGCCCGTCAGGACGGGAATACCCGGACGGGAATAACTCACCGGAAGATGAGTCTCTGGACGGTCTGGATGGCCTCGGGCCGAGAGGGTGGTGCGTCTGGTAGGGCGGTGGTGTCGCCGCGCTGTCGGATCCTATGCCGCTGCTGGCCGCGCTTCTCGTGCCATCCCTGTCGACGGCGGTGCTACCGCCACCCACGATCGTCTGATTCAGGCAGCGTCTGAACTCGATCCCGGCCAGGTTGCCGCGGTGTCTGTGCACGGTATCGTAGTCACGCGGCGGCAGTAATATCGGCCCGACGTCGTTATCGGCGGAATTACCTCTGCCTGAAACATGACCGCCTGCTCGTATCTGCGTCTCCTTGACACGTATTCGCACATAAGCATGCACGGATGCGCAGCCTGTGGCGCGCTTATTCCTTCGCGCGACCAAAATCGGCCGGCTGCGAAGCTAGCGTTTTCTTTCTAAGGGCGAACGAAACGAGAAATGTCTCCGGACCTTTCCGTAATTTCGGATCGTGATTCGATTGTATTCGTAGGTGTTAATTTCGCCAATTACACTATGAATTTCTACTATCTTTGTATCGCAACACCACCGATTGCGTGTCTTGAGGGCAAACCTCTCAGACGTAATTTTGAATTTACATTCGTGAGTTCTGTCCCCACTTCATTTCTCTTTCATTCGTATTTTATATCCCACCGCCCACGATGGTGCGTAACGTTTTCTGGAATTTCGCGAAGATACGCGCATATCCCGACTCGCTTACCTTGCTACAGAGGTGAAATATTAAACGAGGTGTAAAAGAAGACATTCACCTAATTTTGCCCGCAACTCGGCGGCCAGAGACTCGTAAATGGTCGTGGTCGGGACCGGATCGTGTCTGAGCTCACCGCTGCCTTCGGAGGACTCGGATTCTCGGGTACTTCGGCCGTCGCTGCCTAGATTGTTGCGGATCCTGCCTTCGCTCGTCGTGACCCTGGCCAAATTGTCGGCGTGTGACGCCAGCGCTTTCAACTGGCCGCCCAGCAATTTGGCGGTCTCGACCGAGTCGCATCTAAAACCGTCGGGAAGGAAAACGGGAAGGTGAACAAAGTTGCCGCCTGAAGTCCCGAGCCCACGGAGCAACGGAAAAATCAAGTAAGAGGTGAGCGGAGAATCTCTTCCCCTCGTCTCGTCTTTACTCGTAAATGAGCGTTTGAATTTTGCCTCCTGCCAGATCACACCGCATGCCCAACCACACCAGGTGTCCCGAAACAATTAATTACCGGTGATGCACAACGTCGTATTAAGAGGCTACGATATGGAACTCTCATGTACGACAAGAGGAGGCACTTTAGCGTGGGATTAAGTCGCCCTGTTTGCGGAAAACGCGTGGAAAATGCGCATCGTGATGTAAGCATACGATAAGTACGATCGTTCCCAGCGAGAAAAATACTGACTCTTGCCCCCCCCCTCCTCCCCCTCTCTCTCTCTCTCTCTCTTCCTTTCTCTGCCTCTCAATTAGGTCGGTAAGTAGAGTTAACGAAGTTCATCGTGGAATATAATTGTTATTCACCCGAGCTGTACTATGAAATGTTTCTTAACGGGACTTTCATTGAGCATACCAGAGAGATTGCCTTCGGATCGTACTTGGCTTAAACAATCACTTGATGTCGATCTCCGTGGAATGACACTTACAATCGGACCTTCTCTTTTCAGGTCTCGGTCCTGGCGAGACAAAATTCGGCCGAGACCTCCGTGCCTCGAACAATCGCGACGAAAGGCGCGCTGATTATCGCGCCATTGTAAAATAGATCACTGAACTAATAGCCCCGATAATCTGCAATTTAATGACAAGGTTGCTCCGGATACATCTAATCCGCTCGCCGTTTCGCTTCGAAACGATGAAACGCGGCCAACGTGCGAACCGCCACGGATGGTTATGAAAATCATTAGCGATCCGTTAGAATTACGAAAGTCGTTAATTAGAGAATGAAACGCGGCGGTATAACGGGTGAGATCAACGGGTGAGATGACGAACCGAATGGCCTTTATTTAACAGCGAATTCCTCGCGCCGGGCCCGATATGTATAAACAACGTGGCTGTATCTCACGTTCTTGTGTTGCGTTTAATAAAAGTCTGCGAGATGCTTGAATATGTATAATTCCGATTACGGAAAGAATAAAGTCGCCGGCACGGGAAAACGATTAATATTTATGGTATATGTCTCAATGTGTTTCATATATTAATATCTCAAAATATGCGCAGTATTCCATTCCCGTCACTTTATCTGAATAACGACAATTTCTCGAGATAAATTCGAGACAAGTTACGATATTAAAATGTCAATCTTTTCTAAATAGGAAGTATTTAAATTATGAACGATAAAACCAATAGTTTTAATACATAGGTGAAATAAAAAGATATTCTCCTCTTTATATTGACGATACACTCCGACGAGATTTATCGGTGAATTTTCCGGAAAAATGCCGGGCTATGCATCTTCTAACCTCTCATGATCGTATATCGAAGTATATCCGACGAAATAACTCGGAAGTGGGCACATCGGTCTGCGAAGGGTCTTCAAAGTTCTTTCTTCGTAACTATCACAACTGTACGTAACTATAAATAAAATCTACAATTCCGTCTATACATGATATATTTTTATTACTTGCGGTTGTGACAATTACGAGTTCAGATCTTTCAGTCGTGAAAAAATCTATCGATAACGTAACTTCCAAGTATTACGGACGGTTAATTAAATATAATTTGGGCGATCAATAATGGTTAGTTGTTATCAATAATGGATCAGTCACCGAAGCTTCGTATTAGCTTGCAAAGAAAACACAATAACGTGCGTGGCCACCTGTATGCGTGCACGTGCACGGGATTGTTCGTGGCGGGATTCGGCAGGAGAAGAGTCGCGGCTACGATGTCCTCCCGCTGCACGGCTGCCAGCACCGCGTGACCTGGTACTAAGTGTTTCACCGCCGACCTCGTGGAGCCACCCGGGTGAACCGTCTGTATAATCTTCAGACCTTTGTTGCTCACCTATCAAATATAAAAGCACGCCGTTCACGTCGGTGGTTGCGCGAAGCGTCTCCTTGCGCAAACCGTGCCTTTGTTTGCGCCCCGTGAATTGCGAGAGAGCGCGCCGCGATACATTTCGTACATCTCGTCCGTCGCAACATTCGAATGTGTGACACGTAATACATCGAAAATGGATGCAGGGGTGGAACGCTAATAGATACGTACAAACGCGCCAAAGTAAGGATGACGTTCCTTGAATGTTTAATATAGGAAAGTATTCCGATGCGCGCGCGTACGATCGTGCGGACGTGTGTATGCGCACGTATCGAAGACGTCGGTTAATTATTAATAAGGCAATCAAGGTTTCCCGTCATAAGTTTTAGCTCGCTTAATTGCGTTGTTCTTTATCGCGTCCCATCCTGCGCGCGAGACTCGTCCTTGTACTTAAAGAGAGTCACGTGAGAGCAGAGATATGCCGCAAGGAGGCGTGTGCCGCGCGGATTCTGTCCGTACAATGTGTTCCACTTCGCGTAAACGCTTAATTACCGCGCTGTCGATCATCGCGACGATTCGAATTGCTGAGATGCTCGCAACCAGTTATGAATACCTGCTACCTACGGACACCCCGTAGACTCTCCCGGACGGCAATTAGACTTACACAATAATTATGATGTGGGCCTCGACGTTTCGTAACGTGTCGTTCTTTTTTCTTTTTTCGACACGATGCTCGCGGCGGATGCCAAATCGTGAGATTCCGAACGAGCGAATGCATCGGACGGATCGGTGAAGCCGATGGAAAATGATAGAACAGCAAATTGTAAAAATAAGCGAAGCATCCGGTATTTTCTGTTATTTCTTTATTTTCACTCAGATCAATGATCTTTAACCGATCTTTATAATTTTGCATCTTTACAGTCTCGCGCGTGTTACGGTTAAAATGTAATCAAAACTATTTTTAAATACACATACATACACTCTCTTTCTTTCTCTCTTCTATCACGGGCCGTTCGTCTAACGCGTGATAATCTCCTTTTAACAGCACGGACATATGGCGAATTCTAATTCGAGGTGAACGAAAAATTCGCATAATTACGCGGAACCCGTCCGCTTAATTTGACACCGTTACCACGAGGCGCTAAATCATTCCTTATGCGGTTCCGATCCGACTTGCGCTTAACGAGATTTATTGCATTACATACCGGCGGCAAATGCGATTTCTAAACGAGCGAGCGTATCCTTTTTTAGATGCTGTTTGGTATGCGACGGGGAAGCGCGCGCCACGTGCCCGGTTTAACGGTCGTGAAACAGTTTTGGCGAGTCAGTTTATTTTCTCTTTTCCGTGTCGGAGGCATCCAGAGGTGTACTTTGCATCGCACCCGTTCCCGTAAAATTCGGGTCAGTGAATTTATTATTACATATTCATTCGCTAACGCGTCACGTTTCAAGTGCAAGAACGAAATTCCTAGTGCTTCGAGGAAACGGTCTCGTTGTGTGCGTTTCCGTAACTGGAAGATAACGCAACAAATAAATACGGCTTTTATGAGTCAGAACAAAGACGTCCTTTATCCTTCTTTTCGCGGTATCTTTCATCAATTTTAATCATCGTCATGAACAACCGAAAATTTGTTAACGGAGACGAGTAAAACACGTTATACGATGACTCGCACGCTGCGTGAGAACGTTCTCCTCCACCTTCTCCTCCGCCTCCTCCTCCTCCTTCTCTTCCTCCTCCTCCGCAAAATCTATCGCGAACGCGCGTTCCATCGAGGTTAACACATTTCCCTCTGTGGCTTCGCCGATTACCGAAAATTCCCACGTTCTTAAAATACACGTCGAAAGTGTCGTCGCCAAATCGCGCCCACGATTCGTTCCGTTCTATCGCCGAGCGATTGCGCGCGCAGAGAAAATGCGAGGGATCGTTACGAGAGGGAACGACAATCGAAGGAGCCGAGGGAACTCGATCCACGGTTAAGATCGTAATTTTGCGATTTTTATGTGCGATCCGTGCGAGTGCTTTCACCGGGGTATACGGGCAGATAGGAGGCAGGGACAATAAGAACAAGGGGAAAGGAAAGCACGGCATTATATAGGCGCGAACTCCAATCGGTCGTGGCGGATTGTCGTCGCTTAATTCGTTTCGGTGATATTTTCGACGCGCGCTGCCAAAACCGGATCTCTCTCTTTCCCTGTCTCTCTCTCTCTCTCTCTCTCTCTCTCCCTCCCACCCTCTCGCTCTCTCCCGCTCAGGATGGTACCGCTCACCTGCAGTGTGACCTTGAAAGGTTCTTGAAGTCGTTCCCGCTCCAACAGGTAAGCTATGGCACTGGGCATCGCGTCCACCCCTTTGGCCTCTCTCGCGCCGAGGTACCAGACGTAATAGAAGCTCTTCTTGACATCCTTGCTACTCCTCAGACGCAGGGCCATCACTCACTATTCACGGAAACAAACGGAATTTCATCATCGTTCTCGGCTAAGGACACGGGGCTGTCGAGAAAACGGATCGAACACGGCGGACACGGTGGACACTTCGACGACCCGTTATTACGGGAGTATTCGACGTTTAATGGACTCTCGTTAGATGAGTCGGCTGTCGATTTGCTCGATTTAATGCTGAATTGCCTCCTGTTATGATCGAGGTGACACAAATAAGAATTCTCGCGTCGCGTTCCCCCTATTCGCAACGTATCGTCCGAATCTAACCGGCGGCGTTTCTCGAAACAGGTGAAATTATTATCGCGATGAGGACATAATTTATTTTCTGCTGAAGACACACACTGGGACTGATGTAACGTTTGATACAAAGATATAAAGTAAAAGTAAGTAAAACACAGAGGAGAGCTTCTTTGCGTTAATGTAATACATCTACAATGTGATGGTCGCTTTTAAACAGCTATGTGAGAAAACTGTTCGTCATTGAAGGTTTTTTCGGTATCGATCGAAATCACTACTGACTGCGATAGAAGATTCAGAAGACTAAATGTCTATTAACATCTTTTGTGCATTACAGATGCAACAATTCAAATTTGCGTAGCGAAGGTTATTTAGGTGATGCGAACATTAACACGGAATGTATACGCGCGCGCTCGCTTGCGGAAGTGTTTATCAAAACGGCGGAAGTTGCGGATAATATTACGACTGCGCGCGGAACGTAAACGGATACTATTTCCTGCACGATTTTTCCTCAACTACACACCGCCTCCGTCGATCGGAGAAAAACGTCGATTTTTCGCGAGCAAGTCTTCCACCGTGTCTGCCGTGCGAGAAGCACGAGCAGCCTGTTCGGTTCATCCACTTCCTCAATTACTTTCACGCTTAAACCCGTTTCCACGTTATCCATCTTGCAAGCGAATGGTTTCCCACTGATCCTTAACGCGCGACCGGTGCTTTATAACAAAAATATTTTACGAGATGAAAGCGTACCGATGTAGATGTCACCTTATGAGATAAATCGTCGGAGGGAATGCGCGCGTTTCCAATATGAACGATTCAAACGAGCAATGACAATTTATTACTGCCACTTTTCCCGCGTGCGGAACAAGAATTTCACACGGAACATTTTCATCGACATCGACGACATTAAGAGGTTGTGTGTAACTTCTTATTTCCCAATTCGCCAAACTTGAATAAATTCGCGACATCGTTACTCGGGATATATCGTGCGAGTCTTCTCTTGGTATTCTTCTCGATCTTTTACACAAACATCTATCCGTAACCAAATGAAAATACCGCGCACGTCCTTATTTCACTCGACGTTATACGAGAGCACACGACGAATTTCAAATATCTCGTCTCCATTTTCCAGCACAAACAGCTGTATTGTATCAGAAAGAGAGAAAAACACTCCGCGTCGGTGCGAAAGATTAGTATAGTTTTGCGATTAAACAAATCAAATACGATCAATCGGTGTCTCTTCGCGCATTCGGGCGAACACTGAGCGACGACTCGCCGTTACTACAGTCGCGCAGAATCTCGACAGGTAGATCGCGATTTTTCTCGAAGAGCATCGAGGCGGTCTCTCGAGAGAATCTAACGATACGCATCAGGATCGATGTTGGTAGCCCTACTACCGAGGCTCCAGTCCCTGCAGCGGGGAAATACTGGGGCCCTATGCCTACACTACTCTACGTTGCCACTTGCCTGGTGTGTGTGTGTGTGTGTATGTATATATATATATATTTATATATATACATATATATGTATGTGTGTGTATATATATATATATATATATGTATATATATATATATGTGTCCTCGGAGGTCTTCGCCTCGGGTTTTACAGCTACCCTGAAGAGAAACGGCAAAATTCGCGTGCGGCCCCTCGTTCCACGCGCATAAAGCACACGCGCGCCTCGCACTCGTCACATGCACATGCACCGCGCGCACGAGCACGATATGCACACCTGTAACTCGCGGACTCTTCTGACAGCTGCGGGGACCACCGTTCCGTGCACTGGCCGTAAGGCCGCTCCGTTCTTCCGGGCGACGCTCGCCGATCTGAACGGCGGAACGAAACGGAATGGAACAGGGACCGGCGGGCCTCCGCGGGCCCCGTCGGCTTGCGAGGCGAGAGATCGCCGTTTTTTCAAGGCCCCTCTCGGCTCGACTCACTCACGCTCGTCCGAGACGATACGCCGAAAGTCATTTCGGCATATCGACATCGAATTCTACCGTGATGCTGGTAAATACAGAACGAGTGGGAGAAGGAATGAAGCTGGCCGAAGAGTGAGTGAGTGTGTGTGCGTGTGTGTGAGGGGAGGGTGAGAAGGAGAGAAAGAGAAGGTGTAACGATCGGGGATTTGGCCCCGTGCGAGTCTTACGTCTTTCGATTCTAAAGCGACCTCTCACGCTTGTCCCGAAGGTGCTCCTGACATCTTCCGATCTTCTCTACCCTTTCTCCTGCCCCTCCTACTTCGAGCTGCTCTATCTGACCGCCACACCTTGTCGAAGATCGGTCTGAGATCGGTCGGCGGTAACGCGTTCCATGCTTGGAGAAAGAAAGAGAGAGGGCAGCTTCTATAACTGACGCTGTGTTGGACGGATACCGTCCTGAATTCGTGTCTGCTCGGGCCCCCTCGTCTCTCTTTGAAGAAGAAAGAGAGAGGAACGGGTCTTTCCCTCTCCACCCTCCTGTTCCTCTTCCTCCTCCTCCTCTTCTCCTCGTCTCTCTCTCTCTCTCTCTCTCTCTCACTCTCTTTCTTTCCCTCCTTCAAGTTTCCCTCTCTCTTCCTCGTACTCTTTCTACCGACATCTCCTTTGGATTATCTACCTGTCTGCGTCTATGCATCTCCGTTGCTCGTATTTCATTTATCCGCTTTTCTTTAAGCCTTCGATCGGTGCAGAACAGAGGCCTGTCTTGGTTTGAAGAGAAAGGGAGAAAGGATGCTTACCTTTACCTCAATCCCGTTGTCTCACGAGTTCTAATACCGCGTCTTCTTCGTTTTTCTCGCTGTTGCACTTCCATCCGAAATTTCCTCCGGACTCAAAGAAGCAACGGGAGAACCACCTTCTTCTCTCGGCTTATGTCTGTATCATATACGTAGTAAGTGCACTTTGCAGGACGCTAGGTCTTCTATAGGAAATGACAATTAGCGTTCGATAAACTATGCAAATTAGCTGCTCCGTTTCGTAGGAAATGACAATGGAAATTTATATCAGAAAACCAGGAGCCACCGAAGATGATTGTTACTTTCACACGAACTAGTCGAACTAAACGATATTTAAAATGCAGCAATTCGATTTGCAATATTAATTAACCTAATTAATGAATCGACATAACATTTATCCAATAGTTTGACAAATATTTACAGTACGGTTTTACCACAAATATTTTTGTTATTCGCTGACGCAAATATTGGTTTATCATCCGATTAAAAAGCATACTTTTAATCGATGAATTTTATAAATATATCTATAAATACCATGATCACTACATATTTCCTCTTGTCACGCAAAGCAATTCTATTCTTTCGAGACGAAGACCGCACAGTGGCGTATTCGTCACTGAGTTGCGTCTAATCAAAGTAACGGGTTTTGCGGCGATTTCCGGGCAATACGCTCTGAAACTCATGGAAATGAGTTTGCGTAACTTAACATGAGGTATTTTCGTTGGTTAATCGCGAGACCGTGTCACAGGAAAAGATAAGGAAAACTGGAAGAAATCAGAAACGAGGCATGGCGGCGTTAAAACAAGCGCAGCGAAAGTGCACAGTCGATAATAAAACTCGCATATGTCTGTACGAAGCAGCTGTTGGCAATCCGTGGAATATAATGCGTTTCTTCTGAAATTAGAAACTCTGTCCGATAGAAACTTACGCTGAGATTACAGTTGGAAAAATCTCTGCAAACGTGTTCTTGTTTAATTGAAAATATATTATTTACCGGCCCACCGTGATCTCGTAGAATAGAAAAATATCGTAATAATCTTTGCTTAATGTAAACACGCGATACGATACTATGAGCTTTTGTTGCAATATATTTCTCAAAAAGAGATGAAGCACTTATGGGAGTGACGGAAATAATATACCTCCGTCGAACAATAAAATTACTCACATTGATGTCGCGTTTCACAGTGACATGCGTGCAGAACGAAAGTCATTTTTTGATCTTACGACGCAAATGATGCTAATATTAGCCAAGCTTGTAACCTGGAGCATTCCTTAGGCGTGATTAAATGTCGAGGAGTTTCTTTATTACGGTACCTATGAGGAGGATATAGAAAGTCACAGTGTGACGTAATACAAAATTGTAGGATTGGACAGTGTTTGCGAGAAGTCTGCGAATTTAAATACAATTTGAAGACAGAAAAGAATGAAATATAAGATACGATAAAAAATGTTTAAGAAATTCTTTCACTCTATTCTGAAACGATATCTTTAAATAAGAAAAATATTTATATATATATATATATTTAAAGTATTATAATTAATATATATTATCTAACTATAATTAATATATATTATCTCTTGATTAGTAATGCTGCCACGCAAGCAAATTTAAAAGTTCGACACGGATTACTATGTGCCAATAATATGTACACGTAAGTAAAAAACAATGTGAAATGCGACAGATCTGTTCTCTGTTAATTGCTCGATTGTTATTTGTTAATAAAAAGAACGGACGTGCAAAAGACAGTAAGACCTCGCCTTCATCCCTGACATTTCACCAATCGTGCGAGGTCGCGCGGCTTAATTTGCATTAATGCTGTTAGTATATGTTAGTAGTTTCTGATTCGTACTTTCCCTTGTATGATAACCGTTACCAATAATTTCTATATGTAAATTCATTCTGCGGTTTTCGTTGATAATGTGAACCGCACCTGAACGGATAAATAAGTTATAAAAATGTTGCAGTTCCACAAACATTAAAATTGAAAGTGGCATTCATATAAAATGCATTATTTGAGCGGAGGAGACATAAATAGATATATACTAATAAGAATTTGTGACATTAAGTAAAGAAAGAAATTGATAAGTAACATAAAAAGACAGGTTAAAATTTTTCTTATATAATTTTGACATATTGAAAATTCGAGATCAACGCTAAGTATTGAATTTTAATAATTTTATTAAATTCAATACTTTGCGTTGATCTCGAATTACTAATATTATATGAATGGTTTCACCAATAATTGTAAGCTGAAATATTCAATAAAAAAAAATTATTAATGCAAAAATTATGCACCTACAATCGTTAAATACGAATAATATATATAATATTGTAACAGAGATGCTGCTCAGTAACAGAATATATTTATATGACGCACGTACGCAATGTTTTAAAATATGAGAGAAAAAATTATATGTAAATATAAATATTAGTGCTAAAGATAAATGTATCTTTCACATTAAACTAATTTATCAAAAATTATTATCATCAGTCGGTTAAAAAAGGATGACATTTATCGATCATTTTTAGTCATTCGATATAAATATCTACATATTCAGAATATATAATGAAGTATTCGTTTTATAATCTAAAACTATTTCAATATTTTATCGCTATGTTTACAGATTTACAATGAAGTATATGTAATATTTTTATGAGACTATATTTCTCCGGTATAGATTATTCTTATCATCTGTATTGATTTGATACCAATTTATCGACAGAAGGTTATTCAACGACGAAATTTTCTGTTACGTAAGGGGATCCCGGAGGTGTTCTGTTTCACCCGATTTTCATAGTATGATATTCGTTACTGGCCGCACAGAATTAAAAGTTCTTTTGCACATTACAAAATACATATTTTAATATAATGGTGGAGTATCGACTTAATACCGAAAAAACGGAAAAAAAGTAAAAAAGTTATATGTTGATCTGCTGTCTGTGGGAGAGTATCAATACTTGTATTATTTTGCTCTGAATGGCTCAATGTCTTATTGAACGTCTTGTTGAATGAAACAAAGAAAACTATATACGAGGTCTGTTCTTTTTCGCTAAACTAATGTACACTTATATAACGTAAAAAGAGACACATATATAATTAAGACTTGATAGAAGAAAAAGAAGAAAAGAATTAGCACAAGTTAGTGTAGCCAGTTCAGCGAAAAAGAACAGACCTACGATAACGAGAAGAACAGTAGCGTAGCAGGGGGACACCCGGGAACTAAATACTACCTTTCTTCGAGCTACAACACAGGAGTCCGGACGATGGCATTCGTATGATTTAGGGCGCGAGAGCGTGCTTTATCTCGCGACCAAGGCGGTGTCTCGATTGGACCGTGTCATTATTTAACAACGAATTTAAATCTAACGCGCGAATATATGGGCTTAACGTGCCGCAATATTTATAACGATCGACGAAGCGCACTACGAATATATAAAGTGGCTCGCTCGGTAGAGACTCATGAAGTCTCTGGCGGGTCATCGACTCCGGTGTGCCGATCGTGGAACTTCTTCCGACTCTTCGAAACGCGGAGGCCAAGGGTCGGGCAGTGGTCTACTGCGATAACGAAGTTTGTCGGTTTATTCACTCTGTATATATAATATGTATATATATATATATAATTGTTTGTGTAACTGTTTATATATAATATATATATATACATATTATATATAAACAGTTTTAATGTTATATATATTAATATTTAAATACATATGAAGTGGTGATATAGTTATACACGATTACCATAATATCCTCGGTAGAACCGAAAAATTATGATTATATGCTCGTGTCTCCTCTGGACGGTTTGGCAAGCCACCAGAATATATTTGCGCAAAGTACCTCTCGCAAAATATGCCGTTCGGAGTCAGCGTTAAAACTGTAGATCCCATATGTATAATTAGTGTACGCAACACAGGCGTGAGAGGAAAAATAGGCCTACAAGGCCTGTTATAAAGAAGAAGATTATCATGATATAATATTATTAAATGTATATGTGGTTTTTGTCATAATTTTAAACTCAGATTCATACTAAAATTTATAAAAATACTTATATACCGTAGTTTCTCTCAACGTTATTTAAAATTGTATTTAATTCCTTTTCTATTTCATTTCTATATAGAAACGGGCAAATATTTCAATATCAATATATACATTTTATCATTTGTTATATACATTTTGTCATAAATCAGAAACTGACGGTTAAGATTTTTTCCAAATTCTTGTATTTTCTTCCTCACACAATAATTGTAAAGATCATGAAATTATATCGCCGCATAATGGTAATTTATTTGACCGTACACGTCGATTTATCGTTTTCGAGAATGCAGTACGGTTACAGTGACGGATCAGCAGTGGTACATAATATCAATCTATAATTACGTTACAACAGAAGTGCATTGCATAAATCGAATATTTGATAAAGTTCGTAATATGTAAATGTTTCATTGTCTTCTCTGTAATAATACAATCACTATGCAATTATCTCTTTTTACATTTCTTGCGGCATTATCTCTGGTCAATTACCTGCATATATATATGTATATTATACACATTACATATTCATATTACATATGCATGTTACAACTGGCATTCATAAAAGTTTAATCTGCACGTTTTATACGCACATATATATATATATATATATATATATATATATATATATATATAATATAATACAAAATACAAAAAAACATATTCCTAATAATAGAGATATTTATTTTAAGTTGAAATAAATAAGGTTGTTCAAACTTTTATGCAAATGTTTTCTAGAATTTTATATGGAAAATATTCCTAATCACGACAATAAAATACTTAGCATACAATAGTTTTTAGTCACAATGACGAAATACTTTGCATACAATATTTTTAGTATATAAACAGGTCCGATATATTTATTTGATCATTAACGTGTGAAACTTCAGACCATTCCATCAGAAACTCGAAGTATTTGCAAGGAAGAAAGTGATTTCAGAAGTTAATATCGTGCCATAAATGTGAAAAATAAAAAAATAGATAACGCTGAAAAGAGTATATTCGCGTTACTTAAGGTTGAAAAATGGATTGTAAGGGAAAAACTGCGCTCGTCAACGTTCAGCTTGGAGATGAAATCGTTATTTCCGGGATTGCCGGTAGATTTCCCGAATCTGATAATATCAGGCATCTCCAAAATAATCTATTCAATAAAGTGGATCTTGGTTCGGATGATGATCGTCGATGGTCGTACGGTGATATTTCTTTAGATCCTATTGCCGAGATTGGCTTGAGGTATATTGCGTCTCGTATAAATTAATATCTTGTTCGTCACGTGGTTTAATATACAGAACATCATGAGGTGCCAAGACGCATGGGAAAAATCAATAATATCGAGAAATTTGATGCGGAATATTTTGACATACCCTTCAACCAAGCCCACATAATGGATCCCATGTCTAGATGCCTCTTGGAACATACATACGAGGCCATCGTCGATGCGGGAATAAATCCAAAAGATTTACGCGGTACGAAGACCGGAGTGATCGTCGGGACGTGTTACTCGGAGTCGGAGAAGGGTTTGTTTTACGAGAAAACACAGGTACAAACTACGTTATTTATTGTGCACTACAGCTGAAACTACCGGAGATAGCTTAATAATAATTAGCATCTTTATTTTCGTAACTATGAAAGATACAGAAAATTTCATTTATAGTACATACAGTAACGAATATACCATACAACCTTGTACGCAAAATTTATTTCTTACTCCCAAGTTTTTTGTAGTTATTCAACGCACTAAGTTATTAATATACCAACAAAAAAAAAGATGGAACTGTACATATGTTCCATAATGTATTTGCTGAAAATAAAATTTCTCCTTATTTTTGAGATGTTTCTTCAATCCTTAAATGTCGAGATAGACACATAAAAAATATGAGTCCAATATTTCTTGCTGCTTTATTACATGTACAATAAAAATCGATGAAAGAGAGTCCTGCTTTTTTCCTTCTAAATGAATATTTATCTTTAAAACATACATTTTTATAAGGTGAATTTTGATCAATAATTATTTATGTCGGAACAATAAAGAATAAATATGAACGTTTATATAAAAACTATAGAGCAGAAGAGTCCTCTTTGCAAGAAACCGCGCAAAATTTCTGATTATTAATTAAAAATATCTCTATATCTAACTATTTTCAATAAATAATAACTCGAATCTTTGCGTTGTCGTTTGCAAAATGGTAGAGAACATTTCTGCTCAGTTTAACCCTTTTCTACCTTCGCACAAGCGGTTGTACGAAACATACCAGACACCTTGTACAATAAGTAACTTTTTTTTAACACCATACCATTAAATATATTTCTCATATAATTCCCTAACCAACACACTAATTCAACAACTACAGTTCGCTGGTCTTGGACTACTGGGATGTAGCAAATTCATGCTAGCAAATAGGGTTTCTCACTGGTTAGGAATCAAAGGAATATCATTCATGATCGACACCGCCTGCAGTTCAAGTCTTACCGCTATAGAGTACGCTTATAGAATTATCCGATCTGGAGAATGCGACGCCATGATTATTGCTGGTGCAAATATCTGCCTGAATCCATCTATTTCTTTGCAGTTTGCGCGACTTGGTACTTTATACTAACTTTAAACGCTTTTTAAGACTTAAAATATGAAAGATTTAATAAAAAAAATAAATAAAAGAATATTATGTCGAATATTACGTCCAAAATATATTTGGCTAAAATTTCACATTACAAATGAACATTTTGATTTAGGTGTTTTATCGTCCGACGGATTCTGCAAACCCTTCGATGTCGATGGAAAAGGTTACATGCGTAGTGAAACAGTCGCGGTCGTGTTTCTCCAAAGGGCGAGGAAAGCTAAAAGAATTTATGCGACTCTGGTTTATGCTAAGACGAATTGCGACGGATTCAAGGAACAAGGCATTACTTTTCCATCCGGCGAAATGCAAAAACGTTTATTTCAAGAGTTTTATGACGAATGCGGCATATCGCCATCTTGCATCGCCTATTTAGAAGCTCATGGTACCGGTACGAAAGTCGGCGATCCGGAAGAAGTCAACGCAATCGATAGTGTTTTCTGCAAAGATAAATGTAGTACTAATCCTCTACTAATTGGTTCCGTTAAGTCTAATCTGGGTCACGCCGAACCTGCTAGTGGCCTGTGTCAAATAGCTAAGGTTATTAATTACGAATGATATGAAAATTATTAATAATAATACACTTATTATTTTATTTCTACTACTATAAAAATTATTTAACTGGTATCAGTCACATAAAAAAGAGAGGAAGATTTTTTAAAAGTAATTTTCTCTTTATTTTTTCTCTTTGTAAGGTGGTGATAGCAATGGAAACCGGCGTGATACCGCCAAACATACATTTCACGCAAGGACGTAATGAAATTGATGCTTTCAAGAAGGGGTCCATTCGTGTCGTGACTACCCCGACGTTATGGCAGCCCACTCCCGTGTGTATAAATTCTTTCGGCTTTGGCGGAGCCAATGCTCATATTCTGTTAGCACCTAATATGAAGAAAAAGGTCAACGGTGGGGTGCCACAGGACGGTTTGCCGAGGCTCGTCGTTTTATCTGGTCGTACTGAACAAGCAGTCGAGTCATTTTTACATGAGGTAGAGAAATATTGTGCCAGTTAAGAGAAAAACTTGCGTTCATGCGAAATATTTCCATTTCAGATTGAAAGACAACCAGTAGATGTTGAATACGTTCGGTTATTACACGATCTTTATGCTGACGAGATGCAATATCATCCTTATAGAGGTTATACGATTGTCGAGTCTCAAACATCGGGCAAAATAATAAGTGAAATAGAGTATTATTCAGGAGTAAGAAAGCCGATCTGTTTTGTGTTTTCCGGTATTGGATCCCAATGGTTTGGCATGGGTACTTTCTCTTTCTTTTATTGATTAAAGGCAATATGATTGCATTAATTATTAATAAATTAAAATGTATATATTAATAGGGGAAGCATTACTGCGATTTCCAACATTTTCCAAAACCGTGGGAAAGTGTGATACAATTTTAAAAGTGCGTGGAATACATATCATCGATATTTTAACGAGCAAACAGAAAACTACTTTTGATAGTATATTGAACTCGATCGTGGGCATCATCACGATTCAGGTGACGAATAATTTTCTTTAATAACTTTTGCACACATAGAAAAGATCATTATTGTGAAAGTATCTTTTCACGGTCTACTTTGAAACTTACGTATTTCAAACCACAACCAAGCAAAACTAAATATAAACTTAATATGTAGTAAAACGTAAGCAATAAGTTTTTCAAACTGCTTTAATTTATATGGAATGAGACACATGAGATATCTAATGAGTTATAACAGAACATTGGGGTGATCTTTTTCTTTACATTTAATGTAATAAGTTTTGAAACCGACCAGGACGCTTCCCTTAACAATCATTTGAAATTCATGAGATATAATTATTCTATTTCCTTTTTTATAGCTTGGATTAGTAGACCTCTTAAAGTCTCTAAATGTCAAACCGGATTATGTTATCGGTTGTTCAATTGGTGAACTCTGTTGCGGATACGTGACAGGAGACTTTACGATCGAAGAAGTAATTTTATCCGCTTATTACATCGGACTGACGTTGAGTGAAATAAAAATAGTCCAATGCGCCATGATAGATATTGGTCTCAGCTATAAAAACGTGAAGGTCATATGTCCACCGGATATTGAAGTAATCTGCAGTTACAGCCCAAATGCTTGCTCCATCATCGGGCCAACCGAATCAGTAAAAGCTTTTACTACAAAATTACAGGTGCCTCTATTTTTATTTGAATATACAGTACCTATATAGTAAAATTTATAAAATTTATTAAATTTATAAAACTGGATATATCCTTTATTCAATCATAGGATAGCAAAATCTTCACAAAAGCTGTTACGTGTAGCAGTATTCCTCTCCATAGTTCTTATCTTGATATCGTAAAAACCAGAATGTTGGCTTACTTGTATCAAACAGTACCTCAAAAAATGATTACCGGCTCGATATGGCGCAGATTGTCCAACGATACAGAATTATCTTATGCCGATTACTTTACGAATAGTCTAATGAGACCAGTATTTTTTGAGAATGTTGCAAAACTGATCCCGGCGAATGCATCGTTCGTCGAAATTGCGCCGGATGGAATTCTGCAGGGTGCCTTGAAAGAAATGTTCGATACAATGAATATCACGTTGTCTCAACGCGATCACGAAGACGTCAAAATATTTTTGCGAGGACTTGGCAAAATGTATAACAGTGGTTTGCAGCTGCAATTAGCTAAGTTATATCCGACTGTAGAATTTCCGGTTAGTCGTGGCACCCCGATGATCTCGCCATCGATCAAGTGAGTCACCCATATAATTTCTCAGACACATTGGGATGAATGAACAACGAGTCAGCGTAGAATAATTTATAATCAATACATTGACACGTTCTTTATGTCATGATGATTCTAGGTGGAATCATTCCGATAATTGGTATGTACCGTTCTACACTATCGAGAAGCAAATCACTTCGAGAGAGAGAATAATCAATATCTCATTGCGTGACGAGGATTATGAATATATGACCGGTCATGTAATCGATGGAAGAACTCTGCTGCCAGCTACGGGATATATTGATCTCATTTGGAAAACAGCTAGTATGTTAAAGGGCCGATTTCAAAATAATGTGCCTGTTGTATTTGAAGATGTCAAATTTCTTCGGGCGACTCATATTCCGAGTCAGGAAAGTGTAAAATTGACGTTAATGTTGCAGAAAGGTAAATTTTGTCTGCTCAATCGTATACACATTTGTATTTTGCGTGATGTATGTTTGTAATCATAATGATGTATGCATGTACATATATATCGCAGCAACCGGAACGTTTGAAATAATAGAAGGAAGTAATGCTGTCGTTATTGGCAGAGTACGCATACCTTCAGATCCTGCGAAGGAAAGAACTGCGACCGATTACTTTCAAGAAGACCAGGAGGAGGAAGTGATGCAGACGAGAGATGTCTATAAAGAACTCAAATTGCGCGGATATCAATATGCTGGAATATTTCGCGGATTAAGGAGCTTATCCATTACGGGCAAGCGGGGGCACATTACTTGGTTGAATAACTGGGTAGCTTTCATGGATAATATGCTACAAATGCAGATTCTCAGTAACGACACGAGAAATCTTTACGTTCCTACTGGAATACAGAAGTTGGTGATCGACCCAAAATTTCATATGCAGCACGTACAAAATATAACGACCGAAAATCAACGTAAGTTTCTAGACGATATGCACTGATATTTCTTGAGAAGTTATTTTGACTAACGACTTTTTTAACCGTCTAACTTTAAATATGTCTTCGTTACAAATATTTGCATTATATATTGAATCCAGATAAAGTGTAGGAAGTATACATGCTGAATATCATGTTTTTAAATTTACGTAGAGTTTGCTGCACGTCTGTACAAAAATTTGGGTCTGATAATATCCGGTGGTGTGGAGATGAGCGGTGTTACGGCCACTCCTATAACTCAGCGGAAGCCAACTGGACATCCCGTTCTTGAAGAGTATAGATTCGTAGCTCATCGTGACGGAGCGAAGGTTTCTTTTCAAGAGGGTGTAATCCTATCGACACATCTCGCTCTGGAGTTTCACCAAACAACGAAAGTGAACATCATCGAGCTGATCGAAGACGGAGACGAATTAACAACAAAGGAATTAGCGTCCTCAATTTTTGTAGAAATTTTGGGCAATTTACCACTCGTTCAACCCAATATCAACTTAGTGAAAAGAACTAATCGTTTTGATCACGTCATACTTCCTTTAGAAATCGTAGTATCGGAAAAGCTGAAGGAGGACGATGCCATTTTAGTAACAGGATGCAATTTGTTAACTAATGGCAAGAACGAAACCTTGAAAGAAATTTTGCAGGTATTAAGACCCGATGGGTTTTTATTGACACGGGGACAGTCACTCACGAAGGAGGACATCGCGAATGCTGAGAGGTGCAATCTAGCTGTAGTACTTGAGAAAAACACAGGAAACGAGCATATTACCCTCTTGAAGAAGAGATGTCAGTCGACGAGTAAAACGGAAGTCATATCAGCAAACAATCACGAGTTTTCTTGGCTGAAAGAACTTAAAATAATTCTGAGCGCAGAAAGTGAATTGACCAACACGACGAGAATAATTATAGTCGGACAGGGGGATACAGAATGCGGCTTATTGGGTCTCGTTAACTGTTTGAGGAGAGAACCAGGCGGTGAATTAATTCGAGGATTGTTTATTCAGGACGAAAACGCACCGAATTTCTCACTGCACGATCCTTTCTACGCGGAGCAACTTCAGATAGATCTCATTATAAATGTTTTACAACCAGGAAAGGTATGGGGATCGTACAGGCACCTTCCGTTGGCGCCTCTCCAGCCCAAGCTCGTATATCATGCTTTCGCCAATCAAATGGTACGAAAGACTATTGAATAGCGAATAATATATTTGGGTATATAATGTGTACTTCGATAAAGGATAATTCTACAGATTGCTTGATCAATAACATACAAAAATTGTAATACTTTTAGGTTCGGGGTGATATGAATTCCCTTCGCTGGATTGAAGGTTCGATTACCCCTGGTTGCCAGGACGAAAAATTAATTAATGTAATTTATGCGTCACTTAATTTCAAAGATGTAATGACTGCAACCGGCAAAATTAACTTGGAGAGTTTAATGTCACGCGGAAGACTGGAGGATTGCATGTTAGGTTTGGAGTATGTCGGTATTGATGGTGCTGGACGCAGAATAATGGGAATGGCCGAAAATAAGTATGTGACTGACAAGTCGTTTGGCGTTAACGAAAAACTATTATAAAATAATAACGATGTGACTTTTTCCTTCAGGGCCATATCAAACAAATATATACGCGATAAATATGTTTCTTGGGAAATTCCGAGTGAATGGACACTCGAGGAGGCCGTGACAATTCCCTGTGCTTATAGCACATGTTATTACGGATTGCATTTCTGCCGAGGGTTAAGGAAAGGCGATAAGATACTTATTCACTCAGGTACTGGCGCTGTAGGCCAGGCAGCGATCCACATCGCGCTTCACGCAGGTTGCGAAGTATTCACTACAGTTGGCACTTCGGAAAAACGGAGATTTATAAGAGACATTTTCCCGTCTATCCCGGAGAGCCGTATCGGACATTCGCGCGACACCAGCTTCGAGCAGATGATATACCAACAGACCGACGGTCGCGGCGTGGACATCGTATTAAATTCTTTAGCCGAAGATAAACTTCAGGCCTCCGTACGTTGTCTCGCGAAAAGTGGGATCTTCTTAGAAATCGGGAAGTTCGATATGATGGCTAACAATACTTTGGACATGTCAGCATTCTCGAAAGGGATCAAATTTTACAGTGTTATGCTAGACAAAATGTTCTGCGCTCCCGAGGAAGAGAAACGGCGTTTAAACAGAATACTAGCTGCCGGCCTCGAAAGCGGAGCCATTAAACCAATTGTTAGAAAAATTTTTCAAACAAACGAAATTGAAGCGGCCTTTAGATACATGGCAGCAGGAAAGCACATTGGAAAAGTAAGATGTCACTTTCGATTTCATCTTAGCATATATGTGAATAGGAAATATTTGCCGTCTGAACTAAAGTATTACTGGCCGTATTTCACATTTTCAGGTAATTATAAAGATTCAAGAAGAGGAGAAATTCATAGACGAGCCGATACTTGCTCTACCGCGTTACTACTGTCTACCGAATAAGGCATACATTATTTTAGGAGGATTGGGCGGTTTCGGTTTAGAATTAGCCGACTGGTTGGTCATTCGGGGTGCTAAGAACCTCGTGTTGATTTCACGTGCCGGAATGAAGAATGGTTATCAGCGTATGATGATTGAACGATGGAAATCCTACGGAGTGAGAGTACTAATCATATCGAACGTTGATGCATCAGACGTCAAAGACTGCGAACATATATTGAATGTAACAGAGAAACTTGCGCCAACGGACGCCATATTCAATCTTGCTGTAGTACTGAACGACAAAGTTTGCCAGAACCATACGATAGAGACATTCCAGGCACCATTCAAAGCGAAAGCTTGGGCCACCAAAAATTTGGACCAGTTGTCTAGACAAATATGTCCTCAGCTCCGGCATTTTGTCGTCTTTTCTTCTGTATCGTGCGGTAGAGGCAACGGCGGACAAAGCAATTACGGAATGGCAAATTCTGTCATGGAGAGAATTTGCGAGAGGAGATCGCAAGAAGGCTTGCATGGATTGGCGATTCAGTGGGGAGCGATCGGCGATGTTGGCCTGGTAGCCGACATGCAGGAAAACGACAGAGAAATGGTAATCGGTGGTACATTGCAGCAAAAAATAAGCTCCTGCATTGAAAAGCTCGAAGTATTTCTATTACAAGAGCAGCCTGTAGTGGCAAGTATGGTCGTGGCTGAGAAGCGTTTGGGCGCTATTAGCGGGATCAATATTGTCGATACTGTAGCTAACATTATGGGTAAGCGAATAATGTTAATAAAATCGGGCAAAAAGTTCAGTTCATTGCTATACTTTTGCGATGGGAAGTGTAAATAATAGTCAGATGTGTCGATGCGAGCCGTTTATCGCGTTTGACTATGATTATCACTTTGGGGATAAATTCGGGGCTGTTAAAATGAAACATTAACTTTACTTGATTAAGAATAACTCGATAAAGAGAACTGAAATTTTGGGTGTGTATAATGTAGGTTTGAAAGATTTGAGTGGTGTTTCTGGTCATACACGCTTGTCTGAAATTGGAATGGACTCGATGATGGCCGTGGAAATTAAGCAGACCTTAGAACGGGAATATGGGGTATTTCTCACTGCCCAGGATATTCGTAACCTCAATTTCGCCAAACTTACTCAAATGTTTGACCAAGAAGCACGGAATGAAAAGCTACGTTCCGGCAATCCTAAGGATTCCAACGATTTGGCTGGTCTAAAAATACTCGTCCGGGTGGTAGGCAATACTGACTTAATACCCGAAGTTTGTATTAATCTTCCAACGAAAAGAGATATAACAAAAAACGAGATATTCTTGTTGCCTGGTGTCGAAGGTTGCGGAAATATTTTCAACCTGTTGGCACCCAAAATAGAAGCTCCGGCAACGTGCCTACAATACGGGACGTACAACATAGGCAATAACTGTCACACGATAACCGAGATCGCTGATTGTCTTTTAAAAGTATGATATTTTCATTTTATTACGATTACATGAAATAATGTACGGGAAATGGAACTACTCTGTAATACAATATAACAGCAAAATATTCATTTAAATTTATTTTTTTAATTCATCGTTTTTTTTCTATTCTTTCAGCACATATTGGGCAGAATCAAGTCAAAAAGTTTTGTGATAGTCGCATATTCATACGGATCATTAATAGCGATTGAATTGATGAGAAAGTTGGAGGAAATGAACCTCCGGGGCCGATTAGTGCTTATCGACGGCGCACCCGAACAAATGAAAGCATTGACGAATCAACATATACCTTTCACTACGATGGATGAACTTCAGAATAATGTTCTCTTGAGTATAATGGATATATTATATCCTGCTATCAGCGGCAAGGTATTCTTTCTTGTTAGCGATAATTGTAAACTTTTTTTTTGCCGAAATCAAATAACCTTTTATCCTGCAGCTTTTATTGGAATTAAACAAATGCACTAACTGGGACGACAAGTTGAATATATTTATACGCCACATTCCTCCGATATATACGAAAATGTCAATCGATTGTTCAAGAGCTTTATGTATAACATTGTACAACCATATTCGAGCTCTCCACGAATATGACGTGACACAAATATCGAAAATTACATCGCCTGTAATACTTTTGAAACCAACCGTGCAATCGTTGCTTTCACCTGATGAAGATTATGGTTTACATAAGGTGCTCGACACGGTTTCTTTAAGAAGCAAGCTGTGTAGCATATGACAACCGGAAGGGTTTTAATCCATCGATCAACTTTCAGATAACCACAGGAAACGTGCAAGTCCATTTCGTGGAAGGTAATCACATCACGATTTTAGACAGCGACAAAGTAGTAGCTGCGATCAACGGACAACACATTGAGGATGCCAGAAAAATGCAGTCAAACATGATGGATGTTAATAAAACAATTTCTGTTGAAGGTAATCGCACTAGATCATAGGACTGCTTGTTTCAGCAGACAATATCTAAATATAATATTGTGCGCAAATATATTACAAATTTGTACGACTGAAAAATAAAGAATTTTCAACAAAGACTGTTCACGTGTTATTTGCGCGTACTTGCTTTGGTAGATTATTGTGGCGCCGATGACGACCCGACGGTTGGTCGGTGGGGGCTTTCGGATGCTGCATGCACCGTTCGCATCCTCAGTTGTATAATAATTGCGAGTAATTATTTTCAGATATTCATTATGCAACACTGTTTATTTACGACACTTTTGCTAAAAACTTTTGTTAAAAAATCACTTTTATACTTGAATATCTTACCACCGAAGGTAATTTATTACACGATAAATTAAAAGACATCCTCGCAGTCAGTGGTACCCACTTACGTGTAGCTTCTGCAGGTAAAAAAGATCGTGATAAAATATTACGGAAGGATGATCTTACGTTTTATCGCAAACACATCGTCGTATATCAAAGTAACCGGAAGGAGAGGAACATATGCGATGATAAACAGTTGGGTGAATACGTTAGTGAAAAAACGAATTCCCCTTTTAATTTGATTTATCCGTCATTACGCGTTACTTCCGTACCGTCCGTACGATTTCTGCGCATACTCCGGCCTACCTTAGCTCACCTTATACCTGTCCATCCATGTGCAGGAACACTCCCTAGCGTCATCGTCGATTTAGTATAGCGGAGCGCGCTTAACGCGATGCTACTATGCGGTGTATTGCGTGCAGCATTATCCGCATCTTTCAGCACCGTCGTGCAAATCGCGATTTTTTTACTGCAAAATTCGAACATCTCAAGAGTGTTCGCGTCCATGCCACCAGGAGCCGGTCAGTGATAGTTCGATATATCTTTGAAATAATTTCATTCATTCCCCGTGAGTGGAAAAACTCGTGTCGTACACCGTCGTAAATTCCTTTCTGCACAAAGCAGACGCGCGTCACTTTGAATCTTCGGAACTGGTGCTCGGTTTAACAGGAATAACTCCGGAAAATATAACGGTCTCACCTAACACCTTTAAGTTTATAATCGTTTGCTTCATTCGGCTTGGTCGATCTTTCAAACCAACGTTCGAATACCCGGCGATCTTCCTTTATTTTGATCGCATAAGAATCACGCAGAATGAGTCATGTTGGAAAAAGAAAAAGAAAAACTCCCTCTAACTCGTTACTTACGCTTATCAATTCTTTTTCTATCATGTCTACACGCCTGAAGCTATTATATGTAAATGCGCATGCGTTCTTGCTGAAGTCGGATATTTTTACTTCGCATTACACCGATTATCTTTCGTGGTATATTTTACGCGCGTACAAGTATATATATATATATATATATATATATAGCGTGTGTGTGTGAATCAAGCGGCGGCAGGTCGCGTATACGTGGTTGGTTCCACGTGCTCGATCGATTCGCTCTTTCATAACGCGACACACGTGCACAGGTGAAAACACAAGCGCGCTCCGCGCGTTCCGTGATTCCATTTCCGCACAAGGGGGCATTCTTCCGTGACCTTGTTGTCAATGTGCCGGCGGTTCGCGTCAGTTGAATCTGAACAGATATTGCTGGCCGCAGGCGCCAGCCTGCAACACACAGCTTAAGTAATTCAGCAACTCTCGTGCGGGTGTACGCGCCCTACAATCGATATTATTATCAGCATACCATGTGTGTACGTGTTAAAAGCGACGTGCTCGCATACGGCAGCGCTATTCCGACTATGCGTGACGCTAGTAAAACGGCGCGCCGTTCTCGATCGATAAACCATAAGCATTATTTATCAGGGATACTTGGTAAATACACATTAATACTTTTTCATCTTACAAATCAGCGTTATGTTATCACGGACGGAAAACGTGGACGGACATCGGAAGGCGAGTGCGATTATCCCTCTTAAAAGGAATTATATGAACGGACTCTCTATTATTTGATATATATATATATATATGTATGCTTTGCAGAAACGCGTCGCAGCGCGATATTATTCTGAAATGAGCGGTAATGTCAACGATGTAATCGGCAACGCGTTGCACGGGGAGTTAATGGCGATCAATTTCACTCATTCTCACCATAGGAACTCCGTTTTCTATCGATTTAACACCTACCATCACGTACTAAAAATACCTGAGAATGCCGCGTGACTATGAACTCCACGTATGCATGAGATAATTGAGAATGAACGTCTCCTTCGAATTCGGAGGAAAAAAATGCGTCTACGCCTTTCGCATTAAAGTTGTTTATGAAAAAGAACGTGTGCATACACAGACAACGTGTACTCGAGTTATCGCGCATTTTTCGATTCGATTATTGACTGTAATCTGCTGAAAATCCGACGAGGGACGAGTCGTAGGAGCTCGTGGGCACAAAGTTGCAAAATTACAAACCGAGTACGCTAATCCCGGGACGATACTCCCGGACCGGAAAGTCAAGCGAACCGTGAAACCAGGTCGTTGTGACAACGCGAAAAAATTACGTGAAGAGAATAAACCGCGGACGACGTGTTCCACGTAGTGTCATAATTGATCGACAGTTCGAACGGTTTGATCGGTTGAAAAGCTGTCCTCAGCTCAAAGTCAACCTCACTCCGAAGCTCGTATTGTTCGCAGAGAACCAAGCTTTCCGCTCCCCCAGCTTTTTCACGTATTACGAAACTTCCCCGAGCTTCGGGGGACATTATCCTCCTAATTACCGGAATGCTCGGTATGACAAAATAAGCAAATAGCAGCGGTTATTATTGGCCTTCGGTCGCAAAATGAAAATAACGCTTCCTCACGCATATGAATGGATCGTACAAACCTTTACGAGTTCTGGTCACGTGATCGCGTGATAAGAAATTTTTTTTCTCTTAGCTCCCTCTTGTCTCCAGTCTTTATCATCGTATCTGCGATGATCGGTTCATCCTCCGCGATGTCGTGACATCGCTGATAAGTCGCACGACGGCCGGTCATTGGCCTCATCGACGAGCTGAAAAAGCTACCGTGTACACACCGTGTCTGTTTCCTTACCCTTCTTTCTTCCTTCGTAACATGCTTACGTAACTCTCCCCTCCATTAGGGCATGAAGCTCTCTTCAATTTTGTCGAACGTTAGATTTATATTTTATTTCAGAACGGAACGTAAAAAGGTATGGTATCACGCGATTTGTTGTAACGTTATCTCATAGTAATTTGCACATACACGTAGGAAGGAGAATAGATGATTGAGATCGGTTTCTGTTCACCCGCAGAAGACGAGATTATTCTCATCGAACACCTGCCAGGACGGCGAGTGCATCTTCAGGATTTCTTCTGGACCGGCCTGGAGGACGCGCCACCATGGGTGGATCCCAATCAGGGTTTGACCTTTTACGAGACAAGAACGATCGTTCACACTGTCACAGTTTACACGCCGACCGACGAGAAAGGTTCAAAGGATCCCGCGTCACCTCATCATCCGGACGCTCGCGATCCGGAATGCGTCATGTGCATAGAACCGACGCCAAGGTTGGACGATGATGAAGATCAGAGCATCGGGGTACTAATCGGGGAGGATCCAGGCCCAAGGTAATTAAAATGGATTAAAATATCGTTTGAATTGGAAAAGAATCCAAAGTAAGCGCGCGGGAGACGATTGAAAACTGCTCCGATGAACAAATCGATACTAACCCTTTCGGTACATTTGACGAGTGAGACTCGTCATCTGCTTACTTGGGCATAAAATGTATTACTTTTACATATTAATCCATATAGCGACAAATTAAATCCGTCCCATGGGTATAAAAATCTTAAAATAATTCAGTACTCAAAGGGTTAACCGATATATGATTACGAAATTGCCTCAAACGTAACATCTTTAATAATTGCCGCCAAACGTAATACCGTGAAAATAAATCGTAGCAGCGGCTTTGTCAGCGCTAAATTATGTGAAACTAACGACGGAGGAAAATGAAGAAATATGTTAATATAGATACTGGCTGTTGACGGTTCTCCGACCAGGTGAAACCGTACCACCCAAAGTCGAGCTTCGTTTAGCACGTCTGTATCGAGCCGCGTTTTCCCGACAGCAACAACGGCACCTCGGTTTACTGTCGACCGACCCGCGATCCCGAAGGAACGCGCTGTCTCGCAGCTATGTAAACAGAAAGGTAAAATGCGACATCGTTTCTTCATTATTCGAATTCTCGCTCTGTTCGAACTGCGAATAAAAAAAATAATTTTTATCTTTCCTCAAATGGATGTCACTGGAAACGTATCTACAATTTTTCAGGGAAAATTCGATAATTAGCCTTTTTTGTATTTTACATAAGACGATTAATGTATGTAAAATATTTAATATCATGTCGAAATGATAGATCGTGATAGGTAAATCGGTGGTTTGCAGTGTCTTCATGTAATTAGGAATTTAGATTTTCCCGCTCGACCTGAAAAACAAATCAACACTTTTCCTACTGAAATTAATAGCAAAAAACTTCTCGCTATCCGTGCGTGTATATTTAAATGCTGACATCTTGATTCTTTTTCATGTACACGTTATGTACAGAGTGTACCAGGACGTTTCGGAGCTTCGTCCCAAGCAGGAATCCCTCAAGAAGAGGCTCCCACGAACATAACCGAAGCTCAACTGGCCGAAGTGGCCGCCGGCATAATCGGAAGCTCTTCACCTCGCGCGGAAACCGAATCGAGGTTGTCCGAAGACAAAACATACTTTCCGAGCGACGCACAGGCGAAGTCAATGAAAATGATAGAAATTCCGAGGCCAAAAAAGATGCTGCTTCCGACATTCGACGCGATGGACGATTACGAGAAATCGAGGAAGGAGGACCTCGCACTGAGGAAAGTCATCAAGACGTTGAAAGAGGACACGAGACTCCCGTCTTCGGAAGACGATGAATCCACAAGTGTCGAGGCCGAAATCGGCACGAACAATCGCACCGGCGAGTCGTTCTCGCGAGACTTCACGCCGATGTCCGCGGATACGTCCGAATTAAACGTCGACGTTGTCTCGAAAAACCGATCGACGAATTCGAGCGCGAGCGTGCGCTCGAAGATGCGCCTGGTGGACGGCTCGGTTCCGGGGATCGTGAAGGTCAGGATGCAAAATACGAGCGTTATCGAAGGCGGTGCAACCAGGCTGATCTATTCGGTTCATCTGGATGGTAAGCCGGTTCCGGCGGAAACCGCCGCGAGGGACATGGCGCTTCTCTCACCTCAGGAAGTCGCCTTGGAGCTCGGCGCGCCGGTGATTATTCAAAGCGAGCGTGAGTGGATTATCCGAATTTAACTGAGGGCCGATTTGACGAAATCGCGAGCGTACACGTTTTATCGCTCTTGTAGCTTATTTGAAGGAGAGCCGCCCTCTGGCCCTGTCGCGGCAAAGAGACGCCTGGCTGCTGATCGGTGCGGCCAGCGCGGGTGTCGTTTTGTTGATCATGGTTCTCACTGGTCTGATCCTGGCCGCCAAGAGGAAGAGGGCGCACAGTGCCGTCGTCGCGCCGCCAAACAGAAGTATACTTAAGAAAGAACGCGAATACGTAACCGCGACCCCCGGCCTCGATAACGCCGCCTTCTCCACCTCGGAAACCGAAGTCAAGGTATGTCACGTGTACGATCTTTGTTTTTTATTCGCACGTTGAATCTTGAGAAATATTCTTCTCGGTTGAAAGTGGCGGTATTATAACGTCAAGGTTGGAAACGCGGGACATGGTCGACCCGATCGACGCGTCGCAAATAGCGAACTCCTGTTACAGCGATTAAATGGAGTGGAGATTCATTGAAATTAACCGTAGAATCGTGTCGTTCAGCGTACATGTTGCGTCGCAAAAATGTCGGAAGAAATACTCCGCGAAATCGTTCCGTCGCATGCGAAAGATTACGGGGGTACCGTAGGAAAAGGAGCCCGCGTAACCATTAAAATGCGGCGGCACGCGAATGATCTATAAACAAGGTTGGGGACTACAGGAAAGACAATTGAGTTTCTCGATGTCGGGGCGATATCGATTCTGAACGAAATATTACTCCCACTCCCATCGGGCGGATTGTGCGCTTCTTCTTAACGCGGCCCACCCTTCTTCGCAGACCGACGGTACCAGTCAGCGGCAAACTCCGCGAACTTTGTCCAGAACTCCGGTCACGCCCGACACACCCGACAGTTTGGAGTTGGGCATTCACGAAGTTTCCAGCGACAACGACGAGGAACCGAAGAAGGCTCGCGGCTCGATCCCTTGGAGCGTACAGGAACATCCAAGTAAGAAAGCAAGGTAATCAACGAAGTGCCTGGCAACCAACTCAGGGTCAGAGATGATTGCCTTGCTCAATGCCGTCGATTATTCTAAGCCGCGTTATCGCACGAGGAGGAGAAAGCGATGATCATTCGACAATTTGCAACGTGGGTGATAAAAAGGGATGATTAAACCGCGAACTTAGCGCGAAAAACGCGGGAGTTGAATCGCGATAATGAAGTAGTTATTTTTCACGTGTGCATTTACAGAGTGTCGCATGGCAGGATGACGAGAACGAACGCGGTCGATCAGCCCGGAACACCGGACTCGTTGGGTACGATGGACGATCCGATGGAGACATTAGAGTCCTTGGAGAACGGTTACGTCAAACGGGAGGAGTCCACCGCCTCGCCACGGTCTTATCTGTCGATGCCGTCGTGCAAACAATTCCCCAGCATGAGGAGCGTCGAGCCACTGTCGAGGGTGCTGGAACCCGTCATGGTAACATTCAAAAGACTTGGAGTTAGCATCGCGCGAATAAAACACTCAGTCCGTATTGTACATTGGTGAGATAAGATCTGCTCTTTAGGTCAGGCACTTGGACATCGACTCACCGGAGCTGGTGCGTCACGAGAGGAGCGGCAATATCGACGACACCTTCCTCGCGAGAACGTCGAGCGCCTCGAAAGATCCCGGTGCCGTAGGACCGATCGTTTGGAATCTCAACAAACGATCATTCTCCGCGGAAGGTGAGCACTTGTATTTGCCGCTTTAATCGCGATAGATTCTTCAACGATCCAACGTCAGCGGTTTCGCCTCGTCGATCACGAGCGAACGAATGGTCGATATCGGTCATTGCATTGCAGCGAGCGAAGGGCCACGACGACGATCCGTTCGCTCGCAATCGACCGCTGGTAGCGCGCGAGGAATATTCATTTCTTCACACAATCTCTCGAAAGACTCGGCTTGTGTGAAGGTAACGGTACGTCCGAAACGGATATCGATGGAGTGTACAATTTACTGCCATCGGGACCCGTGGGCCGTGCCAGAAGAAGGCTCCACGAGCTCCTCGAGGACTCCTTCAGCCTCTTCGGCAGCAGAGACGTCAAGATTAGAGAGCCGCAAATGTCACGGCCGCCGAGTGCACACACTACGGACGCACTCGCGACACTTTCGGAGACCAGAGGCAGATCCGCTCACGTCAGGTACATATACTTCCTCTACTTCCTCTTCCAACAGGTAATTACTCATTCAAGCGTATATGTGTGTAGAGCAGTTTTCCAGAGAACCACGAGAGTCTAGGGATTAACTTGTAACAAAACGAAAGAAAACCTTTTTCATAAATCCGACACAATGATAACATGTTACAACGTTATAGCCGTTCATAGAAATGTATCGCAGCACAGGCGTAGAATCGTGACATTGAGTAAACGATAAAAATGATTCGATGACCATCTAGCCCGGTAGCGACGCCAACGTTGGAAATGAAAACACGACCGCGCACATCATTACCGCGTAAAGGTCTCGACGAAGAGATCCCGGAAACGGGTCAGACCGGACCGCTTCATCCCCGCGGTGCATGGGGTTCGAGGCCACTCAGCGCGGGACCGTTTCATCGGCCGACTTTGCCGGAGGTCGACACCAGACGCATATTAACGGACAGTAGATTACCACCGGGAGATCCCGCGGTACCTCTGATCGCGTCGATCAAGAAAGAGCTGGAGAAGTTTTCGCCTCAATAAAACGTAACGGGACGCGATATCAGCCTGACCTCTCCGTTCGCAGAATCATGTTACTATTCGTGAATTAGAGATAATGTAAATATACCTTCGATGTAACCTTTTTCCACAAGATTTTGTATCTCGTCGCCGAAGAGTTTCTCTTCCGTATGGACTATAATATGTAGCAAGCTGAAATATTTCACATAAATATCTCGCAGAAGTATAAATATATTATAAAAGAAGACGAAAATAAATCGTACTATAGTATTGCCGTTACAAGTCGAGATTGTGCCACCGGCGTGTCAACTTATCAATCAGCTGTGACTGTATATATTATTGGACAAATACATTTGCGAAACGTTGATACGTGCAATTTCAGGTAGAAAGGTAGAAAGCTCGACTGATTAACTGAATTCTGAAAGAAATCATAATAAGTACTTGTGACTGATCCGTTCAATGTTGAAATGTATCGATAATTTTGAAACATACAATAAACTTAAATATAACGCATTATATACACCCATATATAATGCCCTTTATTGTATTATTATTTTAAATCAGATACAACATATATCACGACTTCTTTGTTTATTAAACTACCTATCTTACAAAATAATCGTATAAAACTTTTCACTAGCCAACAAACGCAAAGATCATATATCATCAATGACTTCTTCTTTAGTTGACTTTTAATACTTCCACGAAACGATCGTTATTACAGAAATCTTTGTACGTATGTTCGTGACGCAGCTTCAAGTCGGAATATTTATTTGTGAAAAATTTTATATATTCGGGATGAGCGGGATCGACTTCCAAAAAGAGACGTCCGCCAGGTTTCAATATCTTAGCGGCATATTTTAAGAGTGGCTTGATGATCTTCAATCCATCATCGCCACCATCCAACGCTCTGAGATCTTCATAACTGTACAGAGGATACATTATTGATTATTCATGCTTGCAGTCGCTGAAACTTTTGCAATTACTCTTTATACGTTACATTTTTATCTCAGGCTCCAGATCCGAGATTTTCTTCGTCGGCACATACGGTGGATTACTGACCACGAAGTCGAATCGCTTCGAATTCAAATTCACACTATCGGCACCATTCAAGGTGCTCGTAACTTCAATCGTGGCGTCCGGCTTCAAGGTCGCGTGAATCACTGCGATTTGATCCGTCAAGTTCAGTTTGTCCCGATTTGTCATCGTCAAGTCGCAGGCGTGCGGACTAGCATCGATCGCTGTGCACTTTATCTAGATAAAAGTACGCGTCCCCTTCCGGTTTATTATCGGCTTACACCTACCGAAGTGCGGAACAAGCATGATAAAATCATGTACCTTCTTACAAGTGTGAGCAAGCGCTAAAGATATAGCGCCCGAGCCGCAACCGACCTCTAAAATCTCACAGCTCTCGGTTTGCGACGAGTTCAGTCTCTTCAAGACGAAATCCACCAATATCTCTGTCTCCGGACGAGGTATAAAAATCGGCGGCACCAGTTTCACGGTGATGTCCCGGAAATCCCATTCACCGATGATGTACTGCACCGGCATCCTATAAAGATCTGGCGTTTATGAGTGAGCATAAAGAATTCCATACGGTTCATCTCTTACCTCGACAATCGGCATTCGCACAACGATTCCAATTTCTCGATCTGGTTCGCGCTAAATCTGTCGTTTCTCATGTTTAAGATATCTAACGTCTGCAAACGATAAGAGAGAAAGTTAGAACAATTCCCCTTTCGCTTCTGTGTCTCAATGATAGATGTAATCTTAAATTTTCGTTTCACTCTTTCTGTATAATCTTATGCGGCACTACTTCTCACGGAAAATCACTTAAATTCAAAATTCATCATAATTTAAAAATCAAAGTCATAACAAGGAAATCTCGAGGCTCCGATACTTTTGAAATAACAAGTTGATGTCCTTTCGAAGTTCTGCAAGATCGCGCGTCAATGATATACTGGAATGCTTGTGACGCATATCGATTTGATTGGCAATAAATTCCATACAGCGAATATCATGAATGTACGCTCACGAATGATGGAACAGTGATTGATACCTTCTTGGTTCCTACGATGTGCGCTACTATGTGCTCTATCGACTCTACCGGTTCCGGTATGCCTTCCGTCTCGAATCGATGACTCCATTGATCGATAATGCCACCGATTGTACTTTCACATGCGTTCGAAGCGATTGAACGTTGCACCGCGTGTCTCAACGGAACAACATTGAATTGTGTAGCCGTCGCACTGAGAGTTTCAACAGCATTGAGACAGTTACTTGTCAAATACGGCGAGGATGTGAAAACATCCGTCTTGTTGAAAATAGTGCGTGTCCTTAAAATGCCTCGACACCACATGCCGTCTTTCCAGACAGAAACTACGTGTGAGATGTATTACTGACACTATGCCATCGACTGGATGGACTCGCTGAAAATGATGTTTCGGCTGTGCGCGAAAGCTGCTGCCATCTGGCGGCAAGTCCATACATTCACCGACGATGAGGAACAATATCGCGTAAGACATTGACACAAGATCAAGATAAGAAACAATCTGTTATTGAATCGAAGAGCAAGATGCAAATCCAGAAAGCGATGAAAACTGACACTTCCATGCGAACCGCTTTGAAACGATAATTTTCGAGGGAAAAAACACATTGGAAAAATCAATATTCTTTAAATTTCCGGCCGAACCAGCTATCAACGTAATATGTTCTTTCTACAGAGTATTCGTTTTTCTTTTATTTTAATATACCGCAATTACACAATTAACTAATTTAATTATTTAATCATCATATCACCGTACGATCGCGATGTACCCTATGAAGGTACATGGAAAATCCTGTTTCACCCATCAAGATATCCACCGAGCTGGATGGGTCTTGAACCGGCCGACGGTGAAGTCACTTTCTCTCGAAGTCCCTACGGCAACTCAGAGGCGGCTGGCGGACCCAGAGTCAAAGACCTCGGCAGGTCGGCATCAGAAGATGCCGCTACAGCTGTGTTCCGCCGGTGGATCGAAAGGTCTCTTTATGCACGCATGCGCGGATCGCGAGTAGCTGTTTGGAAAAGAAGGGTGCTGGCTAACAGGCCGTTGTCTGGCCAAAGGCGCTAGCAGTTGCTACCGGCCCCGCTCTCCATCCGCTACCATGACAATTCTTCGTGCCGCACCAAGTGCACCGCGTCGCAGTAACACGTTTAAAGAGCGCCGTTTGACGCCCGACTAATGCCCGCGTCGCGCCGCGTCGCGCCACGAGGAGGTCGACCGAGATCCGATCGTCTCGGGTGGGCCGTCACGGTGCCGGACTCCCAGCGATTCGCCGACCAGTTCGGCCAGACGCGCTTCTCCTGGGCGTGCTGCTGTTGATTGTCAGCGTGGCGGAGCTGTCGCGGAGCGTAAGAAACGCGCAGGAGAGCCAGCGAGCGAGCGAACGAGCGAGCGAGAGCGAGCACGCGTCGTGGGTGCTCGGGTGAATGACGGGTGTTGTGGTGGCGGTGTTGTTGTGACGCGTGTCTTGTCGACAGCCACACGTTGGCCGACTGGCTGTCAGTTTCGGAGCACCGTCGTGCACCGCGTACGAGCGGAACGCCCGCGTAAGGTACGCGTCATAGGCAGCTACTCTCTCGCTCTTCTCGGGGTCGATCGATGCGCCTCGTCGAACCCACGTAGGTAAGGCGCCCCGCCGCTCCTCTGAGAAGTCTAGCCGCGATTTCGAGTGCTCTCTCTCTTCCCCTCTCTACCTCTCTCTCTCTCTCTCTCTCTCTCCCCGTCTCTCTCACCTTCTCGTAAAAACTAAAAGTGCCGCGTGCGTTCGGAACAAAGTGCAAAGCTGAACGAGTACGCGGCATCGATCGCGGGTGAGACGGTCGGGACATTCTGAACGGCTCTCTCGGCGAAAAGGTCAGAAAGCCCCGTGTGCCACGGGAAAATTCAGCGAGGTCGAGCGACCTACGCCGGGTCTCTTTCTCTCTCTCGTTAGAGAGGATGCGACGTTGGGACACCAGGTACTCGGGACTCGAACGGGTGTCGATACTATTCGAACGACTGGTCGGAAAAGTCGGGATCTTTCTTCACTCCGCGAAATTCTCAGCTCAGCTGCGGAGCTTCCGGCGTGCTTTCTTCATCGCACCGCGCTCCAAAGTGCACGCGAGAGACCGAAAAGCGAAAATCGTGGACACGCATCATCGATCGCGTGGATTCGCGGGAACGTCCGAATCGGCCGCGTAAAATTTACGCCGACTCGGGGGGAGGGGGCAGTGTGTCGCGGTGGTTGGGCGAGAAATCGATCGTCGGCACGCGTGCAGATGTAGACCAGCGAGATTTTCTCGAGCCGCCCTCGAACGGGGGAGCGCGGAGAGCAAGGTGTGGTGGAAAAGCGAACGTGTCCTTATGCTTCGCCGCGTGCTAATAGCGCCGGTACTCTGTATATGTGCATACGCGTCTCCCGCGCTCGCGTACGAGATCGAGAGAGAGAGAGAGAGAGAGGAGAGAATGAGATAATAGGCACTGGTCTCGCGTTCGTTCGTATAAATATTTATCCCGTCACAGATTGATCGTGCATTTCTCTCCGCGCTGGAGTCCGATAATTCGATGACGTAAAATCGACGTTTGCGTAACGCGCTTCCGCGTGCGCCGAGATTACGTTTGAATTCTCCTCGCATCGGAGGCCCGGGCGTTATATGCGGAAACGTTGCAACGGGCGCTTGAAATGTGTGTCGCGTTAATAACAGTTCGGCTTAATTGCGGCCTTTCTAGTTTTCTCTAGTAGACACGCTCTCGTAGCGCCCAAGGACGACCAAGGCGCGGCTGTGTGATCTCTCGAAAATATGTGTAACAGGTGCGAAGGATCACACCGGCGTATATCGTACATCAACACACTCTCGATACATCCACTCGTCACTCGTCTGGCTTGAACGTGTCGAGGCTTGCCGACTAATTGAAATGCCGGAATGAACGGCTCGGGCTCCCTTCATTTCCGCGCAATAACGGATACGATGCGTGTCAATAATCGGCGAGATAGCCGGCGCGAGGAGGCCCGATAATGCACAGCTTCGACAGCTCTCTTATCTGGCGCTGATTCCGCGAGCGTCACGCGATTCACGGGAAGGGAATGCAAGGGGAATGTGATCGCGCGCGTTTCCTCGGGAACCGGCGTCTCGAGGAAGAGAGAAGAAAGAAGGAAAATCCCTTCGCTTCCACCCTGACGATCTCGGCGTCTTCTTCTTCCGGCCGTGCCGTCATCGGCTCGATGAGCAAGAAGAAGAAGGCGCGAGAACTCGCCGCCGCCCTGTTTCCGCATACCTCGCGGTATCGGAAGCGTCCGGCCATGAAGAAGCAGTTCGCCGCGGTTCACGCCCTTGCGTATGCGCGTCGTCACATCCGGGCGACCTCCAGCCGCGGCTGATTGTGCGCGCGCGGGGAGAGTTCAATGTCGGAGGGAATCCCGGGTTGAAACGCGTTGAATTTCTCCTGGAGAACTCATCGGTGTCGCGCGCATTTAGATCGGCGACAGTCGTCCGCCGGGTGTGATTAACCGTTTGTCTGACATGCATTTTAGGGGCCGATCCCGAGAGCAACTCGATGTACGCCGCGCCGCTGTCGGTCAATAGGGTGCACTGGTGCGCTTCAGGGCGAGCCGGAGTTTCCTCGGGCGTGCCAAGCCGCTCGCTCCGAGACGAATTGTGACAGACGGCGGCGAACCGCAAGTGCCGCGCGGTGGTGACGACGCGAGACGATGCGACGCGCCGCCGCCTCGCACGGTTGATAATTCGCGCGAGCGCGCGCGCGCTCGTCGCAGACGATACTCTCTCGATGGACGGTGCTGATCGCGGTGTACGTGCATACACACACGCATCCGACATATATGTGCCACCAGGTGCGAGAAATCGACTGTCCGCGATTGCGCGTAGGGCCACGCGTTCGAGCAATCGAGAAACGAGATATATCGTATGTTATCTCTTTCTCGCGTTCGGCTTGGGACGGTTTAGCGTGTGAGAGAAGATGTTCAACTTTATGAAGAAGGCCGCGGAGAAGGACGACAAGGAGAAGCGGAAGCGCGAGAAGAAGGAGCGGAAGGATGTCAAGAAGCGCGATCGCAGCAGCATGTCCGCGGAGGAACTCCTGCGATTGGACGAGGTGAGAGCGAAGGATCCCTCGCGCGAGGCCGTTCTCTTTTTCCCGTCGTGACCGAAGGCGCGACAAACGATATACTGTTTTCCGGGCGCGCCGACGCGTGATCGCGCGTTCCCAACCGCGCGAGTTCGATCGCGAAATGCGCGCTTCGTTATCGCGATCCGTCCGATGACAACGTGGGTGTGCGCTGATATTGCTTATGATTCACGAGCTGCGCGCAGATATCTCGCGTACGAACTGTATTCTCATTTCATTATCGTCGTTGAATAGCAAACGATGATGATGACGTCATTGATAAACGGCCGTTTGAAAGATGCGCATGTGGGTGCGTGTGTCGCGTGCACAACGCTTTTCGAGCGGGCAATCGTGCCGGGAAATTCGTAGGCTGCGTGAGTAAGCTTCCGGAAACGGTCAATTTCTCGTTCAGAAATGCCCATCTTATCTCGAGAGAAGTCCCTATCTTTTCCCGTAGATTCGGTATTGTCGGTTGGATGTGGTCTCGCGCGATAAGAAGCACCGATCGTATGTGTGCCCGTTGTACATTTACGAAGTAAGAATACCAATATTACGTACAATATGGAACGCGTCATCAGCGCTGCGTTGTTGAAGAAATAAGAGGAAAAAAACAGATTCTCTTCCTTTCTTTCTCGAACCTCTCGATGTCTCTCTCTCTCTCTCTCTCTCTCTTCCTCGATAGTGTAGATTTCGAGACCGCGGTCCTAAGCAAACAAATCCCGCTTCCGCGGCACGAACGACGCTTATTTATTAGCTTTGCGCGTTTTTTCACCCGCAGGTTCGTAGGTCACTGAAGATTCCTGGTCGCCGGAAGGAGAAAGAAAAGTTACCGAGCGGCATCACTGCGGATTACAGCGCCTCGTTTTTCGCGCATCTCGACCGCGACCTCCTGGACGCCACGCAGAACACGCCGGGCCCGGGGATCAGCGCCGGCACCAGCTGGACCACCAGGACACCCGACGGCCTCACCCAGAGTGACTCATCCGAGGCGTCCCTCACCTCGCTGACAACGACCACGACTACATCGTCAACGACGACGTCGCACGTCGGCCAATCCGGCAAGAACTTACCCCCGTTGCCGCCGAAACCGCCCAAGCGGGGGATCCTCAAAGGGCCCCGTTTGAGCATCAATAACGCTGCCGTGAACGTACTCTCGGAGGAGAACGTACTGCCGAACGGCACCGAGACGAGTTACCAGGAAGCCAGTAATCTGTTAGTGAGGAACACACTTCAGAACGAGGTGATCGCTTATCAGAACGTGCCGGCGCATCTCAACAGCGTCCTGAGCAAGGACGAGGTCTGCAGTGAGGAGGAGACCGTCTGCCAGACCACGTGGCGTGTCACCGCGCAACAACAACAGTCCATTCAGCAGCACTATCAGCAGCAACAGCAACAGCAGCAACATCAAATCGACGCTAAACTGTTGCAGGTTAGATAACGGCTGACTTTCTCTCCCGGCGATCCGCGCATCGGTGCCGCGGTGAAACCTCGTTATTACGTGTTTTCCGAAACGTCGCGTTACGAGATGCTGAGAATCGGCTCGTTTGAAATTGAACGCCAACAGACGACAATAGGAAGTTTCCTTGAAAGCGATAATTTAGCCGGCGAAAGTGAGCTCCCTTGCGATTTTTCCGCACGAATTCATCGAAGTGTTCTCGTCATTTGCGACTAGAATGAACTTTCCAAATTATGTATGGTTTCGTGTCCAATTTTTTATTATGTAGATAACTTCGATTAGTTGCAGATTTTAATTTACCTTCGCGCGACATAAATATGTTGTAAATGTTTCACTATTAAAATGAACGCTCCTGGTCCCTCGTCGCTCAATTGTTTTATTTGAGGACGTCAGAAGCGAGAAGAGGCATGCTTGAAATTCACGATAAATACATTGAAATAAGAGGACACGCTTATAAAATGTCTTGTGATCAATCGAGCACGTTTGTTAAATATTCCGAAAACTGTTCTTTTGCTCGAACAGTCAATAAATAACTGTAAATTTACTGTGACATTCAATCTTCTTTCTTCATTTTTTCGTAATTTTGTCGTCTTAGTTTTAACGGTTATTTATTTATTATTGAAGCAAAAAAAAGTTTACGGAATATTTCCCAAACGTGCTCAATCGATCACAAGTGTCATTTTATGGATGTATCCTTTCAACTTGATGTATTCCGCAAGAATTTTGAACATACGTTTTCTTGCTTCCAACGTCATTAATCAAGATAGTCGCAGCGAGGAAACAGAAGCCTTAAAGTAGTCGGTCTGTCAAACCATTTTCTTAAGAATTCTTTTAAATTTTGGCTCCATATTGATGGAAGTATTATCTACACGTCTTTAGAAAACGATTGATATTCGGAAGTTGAGATATTCACATTAACACCCGCGATATAATTCACCTGATATAAATAAAGCATATAAATAAAGTTTTAATGAGAAAAATTTTAAAAACAAGCAATATCTCCGTGTTTGCAGTATTGCGTGTACATTTGTCTTAATTTCGCGCTCAAAATTAACATTTATTGCTTAGATACTTAAACGAAGTTATATAGGAAATATGTTTCTTCAATAAATAATAAATATACGTAAGGGCCCCTTAATATCGCCACAGAAAATCCGGCACTGTACGAACTGCCTCGAAAATTTACTTTGCGGATCTCCGAACTAACATAAACAATTAGAAGCTAGACGTGTCATATCGAAATACCATATTCGTCATTAAACACGCAGGTTGTCACCAGCGCCAGTCCGTCCGCGGATTCTTTAACGGACACGACGAACTCCAGTTTCGCGACGCCGCCGTTCAGCCTGTCACCGGTCGGTGAGTCCCAGGGTTTCTCGCGGTGGCGATCGTCGGTCTCCTTCGAGGAGCAAGGGATCGAGCTGCAGCTCCCGGAGATCGTGCCTCTCGAGCTGCCCGAGCCGAGGGAGCTGACGATACAGAGGCAACCGCCGCCGCGGAATGACTTCGGTTTCTCCCTGCGTCGCGCCGTGATCGTCGAGCGAACGGCGAACGGCGTCACGCAGATGAGGCCGGTGATCTTCGCCGAGCCCGGCGCCTTGGTGCAGCACAACAACGACACGGGCCTCCTGCCCGGTGACAGACTGATCGAGGTCAATGGCATCAACGTGGACGACAAATCGCGGGAGGAGATAATCGATCTCATTAAGAGCTCCGCCAGCAGTGTCACAGTGAAGGTAATCTTCGTTCTGATATATAATCTAATGGATTCTGTGCACCCTTTTGTACGAGAGAGATTCATCGCCAAGCCCGCGCTCGTCGAGCGACGAGAGTGTGTCGAGGGACACGTCTCGAGCGTGAAAATAAAAAAAAAACTGCGCGAGCGACGGTACTTCATACTTCGTTCCATTTTCTCCATATCGATCGTTGTTGGACAATTCACCCTCGTCCCTAGAAAACGAACCTTCCTCTTGCCAACTAAGCAGCAACCGATACATTAGCATAAACAAGTCCAAATTCAGTCGCGTTCTTTATTTAACCATTTTCAACGACCGGGCACGCTAAAACGGCAACGAATTGCGCTTTACTAAAAAAATCGATTATCAGTTACCGACGATTAGCTTATCGCCCGTGTCCCGTCAGGCATTTCTTACTATTTCTTATCGCGTATGCAGCGACAACCTCGAGGTCTTGAAAAAAATACCGTTAGGAAAACGCGTGTAAATATCGTTCGGTATCGTGCAGGGAAACCCATAGCGAACGTGGTGAAAGGCATGGAGGAATCCCTCGGTTCCTCGGAGGTCATGGAAAGGAGTCGATCGAGCGTCGTTTCGTGGAACTTTGGACACGTGACTGCGACAGTGACACGCACATCGCCCGTTCTAATCAAATATACAACGCCTCGCACTCTACCATTTTTCACTCTCAATTAGAATGCGAGAAATTCTCTCCGCCCCCCTTCCCTTCGATGGGCATCTTCGACGTAGCGTCGCATTTATTACTCGGTAAAGCGGCAAGATTCGCACGCGACTCTCGCGTCTCGCATAAATCGGGCAACCGGGAGCAAGAGCTACACGTCGATAGAACCCGGATAGGTGAACGCGTCGCGCTGTCGTCTACCCCGAATTGAAGCGAGCGCGCGGAAGGTGCGGACGAGCACGGCGGGACCGGTGATCGCCATGCGATGCCGGTTGGTTCATTGCCACTGCTGGCACAACGAATATAGCGGGATTGCGTGTGAGTCACGATCCGTAATAAAACTATACGCGGGGCGAGAGTGTCGCGTGAAAATAGCAGCCTTACCGAGAATCCGATCCGCTTCCATCGTCACCGAGCGAGATACTACAAATCGACCTCGGGAGAGCGCGTTCTCCCTCCAAGGTGGAGCCCGAGGGAGCCAGTCTCGGCTCGGCTGGAGAACGCGGGTGAAAAAGTAAAAGGGGGTCTAGGCGCGGGAGATGCCCGCGCGTCTCTGACCTTGCCCCGTAGCTGCGGAATGCTAAAAATCCCGGCGCGTTTTCTCTCTCTCTAGGCAGAAACAAAATATGTAATTCCGTCCGTGCGTCGTTCCGTTCTCTCCCTTTCACCGCGATCGGTACGCGCGAGCGCGCGCGACTTTAATCTCCGGGGTGGATTGAACGGCTGATCCGGAAATTTCGTGCATCGACGCGCTTCGGGGAACATCGGGGAATCGATACGAGGTTTAAATGCGACACGTGTCTCTCCCTTCGTGTGCTGTGTATCGTCGTTGAGGCGTTCTTCTCTTGCGGAAGACGGCGCGTAAGAGATGACAGGGTGAATAGAAGCCGGCTTAAACGCGTGGAAAGCCGAAAATGCTGCGTCTGTAAAAGGACAAGGTCGAGAGAGAGAGAGAGAGAGGAAATGAGCGTAAGAGCGAGGGAGAAAGACAGAGCAGAGGGGGAGAGACCGGATGCAATTCGCTTACAAGCCGAGTCTGCTTCATCAAAAGCGCGTGGAGTGTGAATCGGAAGCCCTTAAAAATCCTTTACGAGGCTTAAGTAGCAATGTTTCTTCTCCACGTCATTTTTATTCCCAATAGGTATCTGTCTCGATAAGCGGCTGCTCGGAATCGAGAATAATCGCGTGCAACCAGCCGAGAGTCTTGCGGTGTATCAGAGCGTGACGATACTCACTTGAATTCGCAATTCTCATTTATCACCGCGGGAACTCCTTCATACTGAATGACCACCGATGTAAGCGGTAAACACCGGGAGGGAGGGGGCATGTCTATCGGGTGTCGCGAGCGTCCGACGCGCGTACGTGGAAGAGGAGAAAAAGAGAGAAAGAGGGTAGGGGGACCCGGTCCTCGTTCCCTCCCCCTCTCTTTTCGCGGCACAGCAACGTCGGCAGAAGGAACGTGACGTGATTTACATACTTATGTATAGGTAACCCGTTGGCAGGCCCCTCTCGGTCAACATCCTGCTTCCTGTTCTCTGTGCGTTGCGCGGCCCCGATGTGTCGGGCCGCGTGTACGCACGTAAGTCGTGCGTATGCACGTGCCCGTTACACGCCCGATAGACGAAGTGCGCGTATCGAGCAGGCGGACACGTCGATAACAGGCGGTGCCGTTCGTAACGGTGATTAATGGGAATTAAACGGCCGGTGAGGGGTATCGACGAGGCGTTCTATGTGCATTTCATATGTCCTCGTTAATCCCCCAATACCGAGTACATATTCGAGGCAAGACCGGATCGCCAGTAATAAAACTGTAAGACCGATGCATTCAAATGGGTGATTTCAGAGCGTCGTATGTGGAAAAAAAAAGCAGGTTTATAAGCGAATTAACGAGATTGCGTGGAATCGTTTTTCCGCGCACACGTACGCGATTGAGGTATTATTACAATAGAAAATGATTATATGATAATTTGAATATATATACTGAGTGAGAGACGATAGTTATCACTAGTATTTGGAACATCTTCGAAAAATGAAAATATTTTAACCAAAGAAAGGAGGACCGACGGGCCTGTAAGATATGTGGCTAAGCGTCATCATCTTGCAGATATATTAATATTCTTAACGTTAATATTTAATGGCATTAAAACAATTATGCTTCGGTCCTTACAGGCTCATCACACTTCTTTCTTTCTTTGGTTGAACTAGAGTAGAGCCGTTTCAAATGTGAAAAATATTTGATTAACGACCGGACGGAAACGAAAAAAAAATCGACATTTATAGAATTATATTTCGAATGTTTCAAGTGACCATTTAAGGTCACATTCAAGTGATCACTAACGTCAGTGTCATTTCTGAGAGATAAATCTCCCTCCTATCCTCTATATTTCGAAGATATTCAAGGTGGTAATAGTTATTGTCTCACCCTATATATGTATGTGACATTCGTGAATATTCATTCATTCTTACTCGTAAGCAAGGAAAACATGTTCGCATAATAAAATATTTATTGATTTTTACACTCTTTACGAATATCGTGCGTATTTAGTCGCCTGTTTGTCTACGAGTAATTCGCCGCCTTATATTTATGGATATTTCGCGTGACGTATTCAAACGAAAATGAATCTCACCGCGATCGCCGTATCGTGCGATACAGCTGAAGGGCGTGCGTGAAGCGCAGGTATTACAGTATTAACGTCGATTTTGTTGCAGGTGCAACCGGTCGCCGAGCTGTCGGAATTATCGAGACGCGGCGGCTGCGACGGGCGTCAAGTCGAATTGGCACCTGCGAACATTCGTGGCGGCACGCTTCGCCGATCCGGCAGTTTGCGGTTTCATCAAAATACAGTAAGCCTGCCTTTACTTTTCATCGACGCGCTTAAAACTTACATGCTATAAGTCAGCTCCGTCGGGTCCTGCGGTATACGCGAGATAGATAAGTAGAAAACTATGACGGATTATGTTTTCACTCTTGAGTCGATAGCACGGGAACATCCACGCGATAAAAGAGATAATTGAGAAATTACTCGATGACTTATATCATTTAAGTTCTCGCTGTTGCAATACCGCGACACGCTTGAATTAGCGATCATCCGTTCGCATTAGGAAGCTTTTCGTCCCTCCGTTCACCTATATACTTGCGATGCATCTCTCGTAGTTTCTACAATTTTTACAATAATGTCGCAACACGCAAAAAGTAGGCTTCGAAAGATAATAAAGACCCGTAGCACCGAAAATGTGCGCGAAATATAGTCAACTCGACGAAAGAGTCAGCGTGAAGAAATAAGACGACACAAAGGGCACGGAGATGTAGCGAAGTGCGCGATGGGGCTGCAGTGTGATGCGGTAGAAAGGAGATAGGAAGACAATAGTAGAGACGCTCACTTTCCACCCACATTCTCTAGAGCGGCGCAGTGGCATAGCAATCGCATAACGGTACATCTGCCGACTGCTTCGTACCGTAATGCCTCGTTTCCGCCGAACTTCGAGTTGTAAAAGCCATGGGCGTAACTCATTGCGAGACAATTTTTCCCCGCTGCTGTTTCTCGCCTGGCTAAAATTTATCACAATTTCGGTGTATCGTTTAAAGGTCGAGCCGCGAGCGCGTTGCGAATTGTTATGTATTGACAGCTGTAGATTTTATCCGAAAGAAGTTGCTGTTGGAGTTAGAAAGCAATCCGCATTGATCCGGGAGCAGCATATGTCCGATACAAGCAGAATCGAACGATATATATGCGTATTTTCATTGTACACACGCACACATTCGCTGGAAATTCGCTTTTATCCCCGTGGCTTCCTCACTGGTAGTCGAGAGCTTGCGGGCTTTCGAGCTGCCTTCATTAAATTAAACTGTCACGCGACATAATACGCATTCCTGCTCGATATCGCGGCGGGATCGAAGCGCTCTGACAACTGAACGAGCCAAGAATCGTATACGGTATCGTATTCGCGTTTCTGAATTCTTTCAGTAACAAAGAAACGTCACGATTCATATTACGACCGACACGGACATTCAAGCGTAAACTCGGCGTCAGAAATCAGAATAAATAATATCGAAGGTAAGAGTTTTCCACAGTTTCATGAAATGGGAATCGTGTTTGAACGTTATTATTAACTCTTCGTCATACACTGCTATCTCCTCTGTCTTGATGATAATTGTGAAAACGAGATAATATCTGCCTTATCAAATCCGTAAGCACTTTAGAACTAGCAACGTAGGCGATTTACTTTTATAGAGAATCCGACAATTTTTCATTCGCGACCCCAGTGGGACGAGTTGCGTGAGCCTTTCTAATTATTACGCATGGGCCTCAAAATTTCAAATATAATTGCCAATACTGCTCAAACGGCAGACAGACATGCAACTGTCTGATTTATGAAACGGAGAGGAGCCGACGTCGCGGACAGCCATTGTCGTTCGCACTGCGCAATTTAGATGCATTTGACGTGAGCAACGACGTGTCGTAATTGGCAATTAGTTCTAACAAAGTGCGACTTGTGTCGGTGTTAAAATGCACAGCGGGATGACCCGATGGTCCTGTACTGACGGTCGGTAAAACTGACAGTGTATAGGCAGCATAGTGGAGAACGTGCTGCCGACATGCCGCTGTGGGGAACAGCGCGAAACCGAGAGCAGTGCGATTCCGTCCACTTTGCGACAGAAGCACTTTCGTCAAAAGCTCACGGCGAAAATGTGGAGAAGAAAATCCTGTCATTTTCGCGCAACATTCTCGCAAACATCCGTCCAACTCTTACACCAAGAGGCAAATTAAATTAAATCCTAAATCAAATCAATAATTAACGCTTCATCACCGGCGAAGGAATGCGTGTCCCGAACGGAAGGAATTTTTCTGCGAGCTTCGGAAAAGTCGCAGAATTCGGAAGTGAAACTTTTTTCGATATTCCCGACATTCCGGCCACTTCGACATCGCGAAACCTTGTTTCTCGACGTAGACGAAAATCGAGCGTGGGGAAATCGAGGAGCAACGAGCCAACGAGCTCGAGCTTCGCCTCGAAGAACCAGAGAGTGACGCGCGCCTGACGGCGCTGCTGATCTATGAACCGGTAAATGCCGCGAAATGCAGATCTGCGTGCGACCGCGAGATATGAACGTGGTAGTTACAGAGAAAGAGAGAGAGAGAGAGAGAAATAGAGAGAGGAGAGAGAGACGGGCGCGGTCCGCGTGCAACGTCCGTAAAGCTCCGCTCTCTCACGGTGCGACGTGGCGGCTCAGGAGGCGGCCGTGGCCGCTGCCGCCACCATCGGCTACGTGTACGTAAATGTCAAATTACGTAATTAGAATTGCATGTTACGCGCTACGTAGTGAGCAATTACGGCGTTACCGTCCGTAGCACCATTATTATCGTGCCCGCAAGGAAGGCACCTTATAACGCTCGATAACATCGCCGATCGCCGGCGGATCCCCGCTGCGTCACGTTGCCGCCGATTGCCTGTCGTAATATGTAAGCCAATAATGCATATTTCTGCGGCAAGTGTACTCGCGGCAAGAAACGCGAGCGAGTTTCCTTTATCATCCGGGGAATCGCGTCACCGTTAAATCGTCGCCTCGCTCGACAGCCTACGATCTCTGACACGCCGAAGACGTGTCTAAGCGCCGCACGTGTCGTGAATTTACTCCGCAATTCTCCCTCGGAACGGTGGCATCGCGCCTATAAGCGAATCAACGATAAACCACGGCGCGGAGCCCTAGGAGCGATGCACTTATGGGTGCAGTCTCACGGAATGACATCAGCCCACAAATATCGGGTGTTCGATAAAAAAAAAAGTGGATTGCCCACGCGAGCAAACGGCTGGCTTAACGGCCGGGAGAGTTTAACGGCCTCGTCGTTCGGGCGCGTCTATGACTTTGTAAACGCGTTGCCGCGCGCGGCATACCGCGCCGATGAGACGCACGTGAGCGAACCGCTGAAATTCACGCATGTTGAGCGCTGACGGAAAAATATGAATAACGAGAGAGAGAGAGAGAGAGAGAGAGAGAAAAGATCGTTCGCGCACGTCGTTTAATTTTAAACGAACCCGAAGCTTTAATCCGATGACTGACCGCGCAGATATTTCCGAACCGAGTATTCGAGAGAGGTGTCAAGCTGGAATCGGCGGAATCCGTTTAAGCCGCGAAATCCGAAGAAAACGGACGAATCGCTTAAACTTTCCATCGGCGTCGTGTTATTTCGCAAAAATGAGTAGCCACGAACGCGGCTCCGCGAATAAATTTGCATGCAGCGATCAGTGGGCAAATGGCGAAGTCGGTCGCCGCATTCGCGAGAACGCGACGTCGGCGCGGCACGACGGGCATAATTTGAATTTTATGCACGTAATCGCGGTGGCATGGGAGTTCGCGCGTACGCACAAACATACATGCGTGCACGTGCGAACTCCCA